ATTTGTATGGATGCCTGCTTTTTTGCTGACAGCTGTCTTAAATTATTTTTCTTTGAATCATCTTAAAGCCATTAAATTGTTATTTGCTATTTCTTGGTTATTTTTAAGAGAACTTTCCTTTTTGATCTCTATCTGCAGCCCTCTCTTCATGGCCTGAAAGTCTATCTTTAGTTTTGTTCAAGTGGTTTTTTTCAGCTTTCAGTGCAGCTTTTAATTTCCTGGATTGCTCTTTGAATCTGTTTCATGCATTCTAATTCTTTCCTAAATTGTTCATTTAAGGTTCCCATCATTTTCCTATGCTTCTTTTTTAAAAAAAATCTATGTCTTCATAAGATATGCTCAGGAATTCTTTCATTATGGTTGTCATTTGTTTTACCTGAGATATTATTTCTGGTCTGATTTCTTTTATAGCCACATGAAGTTGTCTCTTGACTTCAGTTGCTATCATTTCAGAAATTTCATGTGTTTGCTTCCAATTTCTTCTATGTCTGTGTTTCCTGGACTTGTTCTGTGTATGTTGAAGTTCTGAGATTGCCTTTTGCTCTTTCATCTTTACATTTTCTTACATTTCTGGGTTCCTCCAGTTGAGTGGGTTGTAGGTTCCAGGTACATCTTGTGTTGGCTTTCCATCCAGGGAAATGAGCCAGGTGCTTGTGTTTCTCAGAACCTAGTTTCCCAGTGAGGTGGTGGGGTGCAGGATGGGCTTCCCCAGAACCTTGCAACTACACCAAAGCTTCCCTGATGGCTGTGGGCATGTGGGCATTGGGGCTGCTTCTCCTGATCCATGCTGGCTACCAGCAGGAAGTACCCGATGGAGACTGGTGGGCACACAGGATGGTGACTGGCTGCTTCTCCCATCTCCATTTTCTTGTGTGTAATAGAGGTATAGCTTTCTTTCTAGGGAGTCTAATGATTTAATGTATTTGAGGCATTTGATAGGTCTCAGCTTGTGTTACTGTCTGCACTTACATACAAGTACACCTTGGCATCATTGTTAGTGTTGGGTCGTCCTGTCTGTTCTTAAGACTAGGAAAAGTATACTGTGCATTAGTCATATTAAAGCCCAAATAATTTTTAGAATATATATATATATGTGTGTGTGTGTGTGTGTGTGTGTGTGTGTATATATATATATATATATATATATTTGTTTATTTCTCCTTTTTATGTTCCACAGCAGTATTGTTTGGACAACTCTAACTTCTTTGACCGGCTGTATATTTAATGGCTTACATAGTTTACAGGGCAAATATTTAAATTATATACTTCTGGAGTAAATTAATTTTGAGAGTGAGTTTTTAAAATATAAAGTGTAAGAATTGAATAAATATTTTCCAGGACAGTTGTAATAAAGTAATTGAGTATGATATCTCTATAAAAAGACAGCGGGTGCTCTCTCTTCTCTCTCATGCATTTATTGTTCCTGGGCCTTTACACTGAGGTGCATCCCAGACCCCCAGCCCCTCTTAGTTTTTGAGACAGGGTCCTGCTAGGTTTAGTGACCAGCCTCGACTCCAACTTGAGATCCTTCTGCCTCACCCCCACAGAGTGCTAGGATTACAGGCTGCTTTTATAGGTCTGTAAAAAAAGTGGAATGTGGTTTCCTTACATTAACCTGCATCTGATAGAAACATACCACAGTTTATTTTAGCATGTGCAACCTTTAATTCAGAGCCTCATGATCATTAGGAAGACCAAATACAACTTAGTCTGTTCTGTTTCTTTGCTTTTTCTCATATTTTGCCCAGAAATTATTTGTTCAGTTTACCCTTTAGCACTGGGAAATGTATTTGTAAAAACTTCCTTTTGGAGGTTTCTGCCCATGTTGATAGCCCCGCAGCTGTGACCACCAGCAGATTTCTTGTGTTGCTTTACCAGGGGAGCCAGCAGATGCTGCTGCAGTCGTCAGGCAGGCATAGCCTGAGAAGCATTTACAATGGACCGTTAGCAATTGCAGCCTCAGGTGGACAGTTAGTGACATACTTTCCAGAAAGGCGCTACTTTTAGTGCTTTGTTAATTTATGTCTTGCCAGTAATGAGCAATATAAAAATGAGATCTGAATATAGCACAGTCATTTTTAAGATGGGTATTAAATTCATTCTGATATCTTGTGTAATAAAAATTATTTCATTGGTTAAAATTATTTTTAAAGAAAAGTTGGTACTGTGTTTGAGGAGGTGGAGGAAAGACCTAATACTGCAAGTCAGTGAGTATTAAAGTTAAAGCAAACACAGAATTGAGGATGTCATGGAATGCATGTGTTGGTGGCTGCCGTGTGCAGTGTATCCTGTTTCAGCAACTTCCAAAATGCAAAGAGTAATCGTATGTGTTATTCCCCCAAGGAGCTTAAGATAGAAAGGAGAGGATAGTACGTTGTTTTACCTGATGGTAACCCATTTGTCAGGTAGAAGTGATGTGTCATAAGCTTTCCAAAGAGGAGCCCATAAGTATAAAAACAGCAAAGAGCTCTGGAGAGAAGCACTTTGGCTTGGGGATGGACAAAGTCTCTGTCAGATCATCTGGAGTGTGGCGTGTGGGGAGCCTGCAGTTGCTGTGAGGGAGGAGACTGGAAGGCAGGTCGTGCCCGGGGGTGAGCTCAGACTGGTGCTCTAGGCTGTGAGTGTAGCTCAGTAGTACAGCGCTTGCCTGGCGTGTTAGCGGCCATTGCATACAATACTCAATACTGCTGAGAAAAGGATAAATTATGCTTTAATAATTATTTGTAGCTCCTAATTACAAAACTGTGGTGTCTAACACATTGTGAGAATAAATAGTTGTGAGATAAATGAATGCATTCAAAAGCTGAAATGGATTGGATTTATAGGTGAAGGGAGTCATGTCAGAATTTGGAACAGAGAGATGTGCTCTAGAAGGTTCACTGTCAGTTGTGCATATAGTAATGTGGGCAGGGGAGAAAGGGCCAGTTTGAAGACTGTCACTGCAAGTGAAGAGGTACTGAGAGTCTCAGCTGAGATGGCATGGTAGGACCAGGCGGGAGGCACTGAGGACAGAATTATGGGAGGTGGGACCCAAGAGCTGCTGAGTGTTGGGGGAAGTGTGCACATAACAGGGGGGTCCAAGGTCTCGCTCTGGTTGTGGGCTCAGGTGGTGCAGGCTGATGGTGTTGCGGACTGTTCCGGGGGCAGCTGTGGAGAGGAATGAGGTGAATCCAGCGTGTCAAACCCATCACAAGTGCTGTGATGACCTGGAACATGCCAGCTTTATTCAGAGGCAGTGCAGTCAGGGTCGTCAGTGTCACGTGGCCAACATTAACACTAGGAACCAGAGGTTGGCTGAGGCTCAGAAGGGGGTCCCACAAGTGGTCCTGAGTGACAGAGGGTAGGTGGAGAAGCCAGGGGTGGCCTCCATGACAAAGGGCAGGCCAGCAGGTGAGGAGGGACTGGAGAGGGCACAGAGAGAGAGAGTGGAGTGGGAAACTTCAGGTGGGCAAGGGAGAGGAGAGGACAGGCCTGCCCGGCTGGGGGAGCGAGGGAGCCCGAGCCTAGGGGAGAGGCTGTGGTCTGAAGAGAAGCCATGGCCTGGTGGGGGGGGGGGGCTCTGTTTGGCTCTGAAGATGCATGAGCAGTGGGATCCCAAACACCTGCGACTCGGGGCTGCCTTGCAGGATGGCAAGATGCTTGGGAAGCAGGAAATGGGGCAGGTGGCGTTGAGAATGACTCCTGCTCAAGTCGCACATGAAGGTCTGGTGGGTGTTGGGCCATTTGCCAGGAGTGTCTTCAGGAGACCAGATCTGGAAAAAAAAATTGGTCTTGAATTCCGTTTGGATGTGTTAAATTTGAGGTGCCTGTTGGACCTCCAGGCTGAGGAGGGCTTCAGATGCACGGGACTCTGCAGAGGAGATGACTGGTGTACCCTGATCCCGTAGAAAGAGCCCAGAGCGCTCAGATTGGAGAGCAGGGCAAGCTTTGGGTGGTGGCATGACTTCTAATGGTCTCGAGGTTGGAGAAATTCTTTATGTTTCTCATATTCAGAGTGACAATAAATTTATAAAGTATGGCACTTGTTACATGACAGATAACAACTAGTAGCTATTTATTTAATTCTTGTTATTTTTAGACAACCTTTTAGATACTATGAATTTTTAAATAGTTTTTGATGGGGAGAAAAACCTTTTCTTTCTCTCAAACAGCATAATGTCTACTGTAATTTTTTTTCTAAATGTAAATTTTTACTTTAGAATTTTTTCATCAAAGAACTGGTATGGCTTGTGTCTGGATGTCTCCCCAAAGCCTGGGGAGGCTTCTAGATTTGTGATTGATTCATGGTCCAGTGCTGGGATTATGGGTGTGAGTGCTACCCCCACCGTAGGGTGGGTGCTTGTGAACAGTGTAAGGGACAAAGTCTTCTCTGTGTGCTCCTCCCCTGTTGCTTTTATTACTCTTGGTAATAATAGTACCACTGCCGTGAGTGGTTGCTCCTCTGCCCTGTGTTGCTCTGCATTGGAGCCAGCTGATTATGGGCTGAAACCTCCACAAACTGTGAGCTAAATAAACCTTTCCTCCCTTAATTCTGGGTGTCAGGTATTTTGTCCCAGCAAGGAGTGAAAAATAACCAACACAGAACAATGGACACAGACTAATAAAAAGCATGGGAAGTAACGGGAATAAGAGGTTTGAGCCTCACTGTAACTTACACCGGGGCCTGTGGTGCTCTCACTGCGTACACTGCTTGTGTCTCTTCCTTTTCATTTGCCTTACTTTTGAGTGCAGTCTGGCTTTTTGGAGTGTTCTACACATTGCAATTTTCTCAGCAAATAATATTTTTATATATGTGAAGTTACACTGTCCTACTGATGTTTGGTTCTCATTTTAAAACCCTTGGGAAAAAGAAAATTCTGAAGTTTGCTACCAAAACAAATTCAGTCACCTTCTCTTGTTCTGAATGTGTCTGTGCTTGAAATCACATTAAGGGAATCACTCAAAGCAGTCCTTCTCTAGAAGTCTACAGATAAACCAATACTTTGTCAATTGTGTTACAGAGTTACAAGTTTTGTCCAGGAAAATTGCAGCTGATTGTAGACCAGTTGGATCTCCGGCAACCTAAAGAGGTGAGCACCAAGTACAGGTCGGGCGCATCCACCCTCAGGGCAGTGACTGCCTGGTCTCTGCCCTGGGCCTGTCTTGTTGGGTGCCCTGGGCAGGCAACCCTGATCTGTTTGCATCTCAAAACGAAGGGGCCCGGAACAGAAAATGGTCCTTAGTGAACTGTAACGCGTTATTGGAAGAAACAGTTATTGAAAGAAAGCAAAATTTTTCCTAGCTTGTTTTTTAAAGGAATGAAGCATATGTCCTCAAAATGGTTCTGCACTGTGGGTTTGTGTGCAATGTTTTAGCGGCCTCTTATGAAAAAGTTCATTTTGTGCTTTTCTATTTACATAAAGTGGAAGCGACTGCTAAAAATTTTTGGTAAACAGAATTACATACTTACTGTGTCATGTTTCAAAATGTGCACTGAATTGTATCTGTAGTTAAGCGGTTTTACTAATTACTATTTATGATGTACTGTTTCATTTGAAAGTCAGTTTGCAATAAAAGTAAGGATTTTTGCATTTTTTATGATAAAATGTTTGCCATTGGTTCTCAATTGTTGAATTATTTTTCTCCAACTTTATTTTATGCTACATGAATAGTGTTTCTTCTCATTGAAGTTTTCTGAAAAATTAGAATCATTCTTTTACTCTCGAAATTTCGCATTGTTTTATTTTTGGTTCTTAGTAAATAATGTTTGGAAAGATGTTGGATATCAGGTTGACTTTTATATGATAAAAGTCCAATTGTCTAATTCAAATGGGTTACTCAGAAACCTGTTCTTCAAGGACTCTTTATTCTGCTTTTGTAAGTACTAAATCCTTCATGGGATTTTGCCCTAATAATTAATTGCCCCTCACAAATGGCACCAAGAGTCACCCAGACTTCGCCCCAGGCTGTGAGAGCCTGGCTTGGGCCTGACGTGCGTCTCCTGTGCTCTCCCAGGTGCGGCATGAGGCCCTGCAGACCCTGTGCTCCGCGCCTCCCTCCGACGTCCTGAACTGTGAGGACTGGACCACGCTGTGTGAGCGGCTAGCGGCGTCACTCTCGGAGCCCGACCCTGTGTTCAGTGTAAGGAGGGCTCTGCAGAGACGCCCGCCTCGCCTCCGGGGCTGCACAGCCCCGCAGGGGTGGGTTCTCCCCACAGCTGCAAGGCCGTGGACTCGAGGGGTCCGGGGCGTGGAGTCTGCCCTTCCTGTGATTCCGGGTGTGGGATGCTGCTGTCCTTGCAGCTGCACCAGATGATAGCTGTCACCTTGTGCGTTGGGCTTTGCGGTGGGAAGGGACAGCCAAGGGCTGTGTGCTAGTTCTGAGCCGAGAATTAGCTTAAAAGAACCTACAGTATGTGAGAACTTGAATTTAAAAATACAAGCCACCAGCATTTTATTGTTCCTTAGAGAATAGCTGTTCAGAAGGGGAGGCTAGAGAATGAAAAGCTAAGTTTATAAAATGAAGTGAGTGATACTGAAAAAATCTTTAAAACTGATATTATAGGCAGTAGGTATGTGACTGCTTTGTGTAAAAACTGGTAGGCATGTGACTTTTCAAGAACAGCCACTGTAGATAAAAAGTGAGTTTATGTTAGCAGTGCCCTAATTCCATAGAGTGTCTATGAGAAGAATAAACAAATCCTGACTATTCAAACATCGTCTTTGAAATACATTTTCCTTAATACAAAAAGTGTTGGTGAGGAAAACTTTGGCTTTAAAATTGATGTGTGAGGGCTGGGGATATCACTCAGTGGCACAGCTCCTGCCTGGCAGGGGCGAGGTTGTGAGTTCAGTCCCTGGTACAAGTGTGTGTGTGTGTGTGTGTGTGTGTGTGTGTGTGTGTGTGTGTGTGAGATACACAATGGAAGACATTAGACGAAGGGCTGCATTTTGCTTTGTTCCGCGCAAGCGTGCCGATACCACGGTGCGCCTCACTGTCCTTTAGGTGCTGGAACAAACCAGGAGCAGGACAGAAAAGCAACTCCTGGGGCGTGTGGTCTAATGGAGGCCACAGACAGTAAGCAGGGCTGTGGAAAACCCACGGCATCTCCGCCATGTGCTGTGTGCTGGAGCTCACACTGCGTCAAGGAGGGCTAACCAGCAGGGCGGAGGAGAAGCCTCGGAAAGCTTCGTCCTTGTCCTTAGCAGCAGGCAGTGTTTACCTGATGCCAGGTGCAGTTCAGACGTACCAACACCAGAGGGTATTACGGAGTGCTGCAGAAACCTTGCTGCAGGAACGTGCAGGGAAGAAGAAGAGTTTTAGATCACTTTTAATATTTCAGAGCTCTCTAGTAACAGATACTGTTGTGACTTTCCCTGGCTTGACAACAGATTGCTGCAGAACAGATTTTCCTGATTCTAGAAAGTGTATAAGGAGTATAAACCCATCATGCTTTCTAGTGGGTTGGTGGCAGTTGCTTTATTTAGCTGTTAGGGTTAGTATGCAACAGGGGTTAATTTCTGCTCTTAACAAACTGGAAGCGATTGTTATAGATTGTTAAAAATGGCAAGAAAGTCATTTTGTGGTAGAAAGAAAACATAGCTTTTCTTCATTTTAATTTTTTGCTTTGTTGGTGTTACTGATTCTGATTCTGATTCCTGTCTCCCACCTTGAGAACTGTTACATGTAACTGAGTGAAGCTTTCGGTGGCTGGCAAGCGTGACAAATACTCACCAATTGATGTGACTGTAAACCTCATTTAATAACCCCTGCACTGCAGGGGTCTCTAGTCATTGGGAAAGTATTTCTTGTAACCATATGATATAAGCAAGGTTATTTTTTTCCTCTAGATTAGAAGAGCAACTTTGTTTTCATTTAATGAGAAGTTGGACATCAGTATTAGGCTTAATCTCATCATGACATCTCTTTTGTATAACTGAAGTTCATAGGATTATATAATAGCTATCTTCTTAGGTACTTTCTAGTGCCAGATTCTGTTCTAACAACACCTATTTCTCATTCAATTAATTTATCTTGTGATAGTTTCTCCTTTGAGTTTTCATGGTGTTAATTTTTTTTTCTTTTTTGGTTCTTTTGAGACAGGGTCTTACTATATAGTACAAGCTGGCCTTAAACTCACAGAAATCCTCTTGCCTCAGCTTCCAGAATACTGGATTACACTCCTGGCCTTCAGTGTTAAATTAAAAAAAAATAAATTTAAATTATTAAATTTCTAATAATTTAAATTATTAAATTTCTAATAATTTAAATTATTACCATATTCCACTGGCCTTCAGTGTTAAATTTAAAAAAAATATTGGATAGTACTTTTCTCCGGAATAGAAATAGTTATTAGAAAACATCTTAAATGTCTAATTACTGAAACTATTCATGTAAACAATGTAAAAAACAAATCTTGGATTTAGAAATACAGTCCTGTTGGTGTGGTGTTGCATACATATAATCCCAGCTCTGTTGACTGAGCCAAGAGAATTGTGGGTTTGAGCCCAGCCTGGGTGACTCAGAGAGTTCCTGTCTCAAATGAACAAAACAAAACAAGACAAAAAGAAACAATAAAGGCTGGGAATGCAGCTGAGTGTGAAGGTCCTAGGTTCAACCCCTACTGCCACTCACACAAGGAGAAGAAGAGAGAGCTGTGTGGTCCTCAACTGCATTCCTGTTGTTACCTGGTGCTTCTCCTGTTCCTGGTTCCTCCTGACCTTGGTCCATTCCACCTTCCTGTGTCAGCACCCACCGGGTGCAGGTTTCGCGGGGTATTTTGTTATTTGGTTCCTCTTTTGCTGACTAGTACAAGGATGCACTTTTGAAGCTAGCTGTACTCCTGTTCGGGTTCAGGGTGCCGAGGCTCCTTGTTTGAGGTTTTAGTTTGTAGCGATGCTGCATCGCTATTCTGGTCAGGGTCTTAAGAGCACATCTTCTGTCTCCTTCTCCAGGACCGGATTTTGAAGTTCTCTGCACAGACATTTACGCTGCTGCCACTGCACATGACCAAGGAGATTTATGCTAGCTTAGGTGGGTTTCTCAGTCCTTGCCTTCCTTCTCTTTAGTTTTAGAAAATGCATATGAAACATTTTGTTTCTTGAGAAGGCACTGTAATGTGTGCCCTAATAGTCATTACTTCTCTTTTTCAGCGCGACATTTGGAGCTGTACTTTCTTTCTAGAGAAAACCATATTCCTACTCTCTCAGCGGGTGTGGATGTAACTCACCCTAATGTGAGCTGCTTGCTTAAGAAGGTAATCCCTCACTGGAATCGGCCTCTGCTTTTACTCTTTCTGTGCCTTGGGATGCCAAGTGTGTGATGGCCTTTGTACCATGTCGTGTAGGTCCGTCTTCTGAGTGAGTATCAGAGAGAGGTACCATCTTTCTGGATCCGTCACCCAGAGAAGTAAGTCCATCTGCAGGGCCTTGGGTTGGAGGGGTAGTCTTGGTATTGCCCATCAGACACTGAGAGAGAGAGAAGACCCAGACAGCCTGGAAAGGTGTCAGTGTGGTTCATTGTGTGTGTTTCTTTTTTGACATTCAAAGTCTCCTTGTATAGCCCCGCCCCGCCTTGAACGCTTGGTGATTTTCCTGCCTCAGCCTCCTGAGTGCTGGGATTATAAGCTCTCGCCACCCTGCTCGGCTCTAATTTTAAAATTTGTTTTGTTTGGTGCTTAGCTATGTGAAAGGCTCCATGTAAGTGTCTTTTATCACTTCTAACACAGTAAACAGGATGTTGTAGTCTCAGGATTTAATTAAAATTTGCTACTTTAGAAAAGTTCTATAAAATGTTTTTTAAATGTATTCATTTTTGTCTCTTTGAGGCAGGGTTTCACTATGAGTTCAGGCTGGACTTGAGCTCAGTTTGTAGCCTAGGCTGGCCTTAAACTCATGACGATCTTCCTGCCTCAGCTTCCTAAATGCTGGGATTACAGCTGGGCACCATCATGATTGGTTCCCTAAATGTATTCATTTTAGCACTAAAATTTCTAATAAGATCATAAAGCATATCTGTAAGTCAAAAATGAAACATTACATTTGGAAAGCCATTGCTGAGGTAGTTAAGAATATAGATTTTGAGCTAAGTATGGTAGCACATGCCTGCAATCCAAGCATTTGGGAGGCTGAGGCAGGAAGATGCCTGTGAATTTGAGGTGAGTCATAATGAGACTTTGTTTTAAAAAAGCCAAAAATTATTTATTTATTTTAGTTTTTAGTTTTATGATAGTCTAGGCTGGCCTTGACTTCATTACGTATCTGGCCTCAAACTTGCAGTGATCCTCCTGCCTTAGCCTCAGTCATGTGCCACCATGCACAGCAAAAAAAGATTTTAAAATAGAAAAATTGAGTGTGAATTCCACCTCTGCCATTTATTGAAGTAAAATTTCTGAAGATTCTATTTTTACTTTATCACTTTATAAAATATCAGTACTATAGTAGCTCTATATTAATGAAATAAATCACTACTGTGTAATAATTTTACATAATATTTATAATATATGTCTGTGAGCTGAGTATACAATGGCCTTTGTCTTTCTGTAAACATCACTTCTCCTTTCGTGGACTTGAAGGTACATGGAAGAGATTGTGGAGAGCACGCTGGCCCTGTTATCAGTCAGACCTGACCCGAGCCATCTTGTGTCCCTGAAGATTTTGGACCCCGTCTACTTTTTTGCATTAGTTGACACGAAGGCCGTGTGGTTCCAGAAGTGGATGGTGAGGGAGCTGGGACCGTGGGCTGTTCTGTGGCAGCTGGTGTGGGACTGCGCCCAGCCTTCTTTCCCTGAACTTTCAGGGGTTTGGGTTGGAGCCTGCGCAGCAGGCAGCGTCACCCTGTCTCCTCTGTGGGGCGACTGGAGGGGGGACCTTGACTTTCCCGCCTTGGATTGGTGGGTGATGAGCCCCGGGTCTGAGTGGTGATCTGCTTCCATCTACTTCAGGCTAGTGACTGTGGTTTAGTGTCCTCAGCTGTTTCATGTGGACGGGGTGGGACAGCACTCTGCGTCCACAGTTTGGGGGTCTCCACGTGGGCCTGGGGCATTCAGAGGTCCCAGCACTGCCTCCTCCCTCCGCTCTGCTGGGCCTATGCTGGGCTCCACAGCGGCCTCAGTCTCTGCCCCAGTGTCTCCAAGTTAGAGGATCAGTGGAGGCAGAAAGGACCCGGAGGGGACCAGCCACGTACCGCAGTGGCAGAGAGCTCATGGGCCCCGCACAGTTTGGCTATTTCTTTATTTTTTTCTTTTCTTTCTTTTTTTTTTTTTTTTTTTTGGCTTTTTACCTTTTTACTATCTAACCCTGACGGTTAACACTCAATTTTTATTGCATGGCTCTGCTCCGGCAGGAGTGCGGGTGGCCACAGAGTGGTGGCTGAGAAGCGTCCCCTCTGTCCAGTTCGCTTGGATCTGGTCCTGCCTCTGACACTTTGGTTCATCTTTCCACGGTAGTGAAAGTGCACTTGTATGGAAGACTGTGCGGAAATGTAAAAGCACTATTTTTTTCTGGTCTTGCAGTACAGGGGTAACAAGGTTTTGGTTTATTTAGTCATTTTTTTATATTATGAAAACATATTTTGCACATTTCGTGAACAGAGTCCTTTTTAAAAATATTTTTGGTTGCCAGTTCTTTTTATCTGTCTATTTATTTATGTATTTATTTGGAGCTGGGAATCGAACTCAGGACCTTGTGCTTGCTGGGCAGGTGCTTGTGCTGGTGAGCTGTGTCCCTGTCTCCTGAGTGCTAGTTCTTGAGTCTTGAGAGAATGAGGCAGATCTGAGGAAACTCAACAGTAAGCCATTAGGTGGAAGTATCTCCTAGTGTGCTGAGAACTTACTCCAGCCAGCCGCCCAGCTGCGGGTGGACAGTGGACCTGAGGGAGCAGGCCAGACAGGAAGCAGCTTTGGCTTGCTGGGCTGTGTGCTTTTGGTTGCGATTTTTCAACCCTCTTTATAGCCTCAGAGTATCTAAGAAAATGTGTCAACAAAAACTTTATTTATAAAGCCAGGTGGCAGCTTTATTTAGTCTGAAGACTGTAGTTTGCTGATCCTTGGCTAGTGGAGGTCCTAGGAAGGTTCCTTTGTGGGACATTATCAGTAGTAAAACTAATTTAAGTATCTGTCAGCACATTTCTCTTATTAAACCAGAAAAAAAAAGGATTCATGGTTTTGGAAAATATTTTAAACCACAGGGCTAAAACATAGGGCTTTGATTGACCTCCAATGAATTATAATACTGTTTAATGAGTTAAAAACTATTCCCTCGAATGCTGAGAGCTTTCACAGTCTAATATTTAGTATTAAGCAGTGTTAAGCTTTTTACTATTTTTAAGTAAAACGAATAAAACTATATTTGGAATGCTAATGCTATCAAATATAACTTAGGTAAATAATATTTATAGTTTTCCTGGCCTTGTACGGTGCTGTGTATATGCAGGCATTTCAGTGTCAGCTGCATTCATTGCTAAGGAGAGAAGGCTTTTTTGTCACTCTGTCATTTAAAAATGTGACCAGCAGGAAGTGATGAGGATATTGTCTCTTGAGAAGGTTTCCCCATTGGCCAATTTTTCTACATGTATACTACAAATCTTCAGTATAAGATTTGTGATTTTTGTCTTCTTACTTTAAATCTTTTCTTTGGCTTCTGCCATATCCTGGTAGGTAAGTAGGTTTGTTTTGTTTTTGGTGGTAGTGATTCAGCAGGGAAATTGGACCCCATAGATGGGTAGTTTCTTTTACTAGTCTGTCACTAAGTGGTACCAAAAATGATGCCCAAATTTTTTGGTATTGCTTGCATTCATGTGATTGCTAGGCTCTAAATGCAATGTAGAAAACATCTGCTTGGCATTAATTATAATAATTTAAACCTAAGTAATTGCATCATTTAGAATGTTACTGGCAGTGATGCAGGAAAAGGTTTTGAATGGCCTAGCTTGAATATTAAATATCGTTTTTCCTTCATTTCAGCATGCATATTATAGCAGAACTATAGTGCTAAAGCTTCTTGAAAAGAAATACAAGTCTCTGGTAAGTCTGTACCTCTGCTCTCACATGGAGAGCCTGGGTCACGATATGTGTTGTGGTGTCTTGGCCCTGTGAGAGTGAGCTGGGGTGATTAATGCTATCTGGGAAGCTGATGGTCAGCTCTGTGGAGGCAGCTGCCCTCTCACCAGCCCACCAGACACTGTCCTGTCAGTTAAAAGGGCAAAAGGACAAGCTTAAGGAGCGGTTGGGTTACAGGAAGTGTGCAACTGGGGCGTAAATCAGGCTGCCACGAGGACAAGCTAGTTAGAGGAGAGCTGTATTTTAAAGTATCACATGTAATTTGGTTCAACTTAGGCATTTGTATGGAAATTACATACATTTGAAGGTTTCATGACAAAACTCAGACTGATACATACTTCTGCATTAGCAAAATTTTGGCTTGAATTTTGCCAAATATAAACTAATACTTTAAAATACGCTATCTAAATTATCTGCCTTTCCTATTAGTAGTACAGCAGTGTGTGTGGGTACTTTGCAATACTGAAATCCATAGAACTGATGAATAACTGAGAAATGTGAAACACTGAAGTTTATTAAGATACAAGTTTGGATCTGGAAGTACGGTTATATGGTTAGGAGGATCCTGGGTTCTGCAGTAAGGTGAGTGAAAGGTTCCTGGCACTGGGAGCCTTTGGTTGAGAGTAGCAGAGCATAACATGAAAGAAGGAGGGTGTGGAGGTTGTTTTGTGCTTGAAAACTGAGAACTGAGCAGCAGCAGAAGACGGGGTATTGAACAGTAGGATGGGACTTTATTGGTAGAGGGAAAAGGTGCTTAACTTTTTTTTAGCAAATTAAATTAAAATAAAGACTTTCAAGATCTCCAGTCTTTTCCATTCACATTTAAATGAAATTTTGTGGTCGCCCTGTAGAACAGACGGATCCTGTTGGGATGGAAAGGGGGGAAAGAGCGGGATCTGCTTTTCTCATGACCCTCGGCAGATCCTAACTCTCGGTGGCTGTCACAGCTGTCCCAGTGGAAGGAAGCACAATGAAACTTACTGAGTAATCCCTAAAATCTGTTTCTTGTTGGAGATGTTGACTGCAGGTGGAATTTCCCCATTGAAACCATTTCGGCGATTTTATCAACTTAGTCTATTCGTTTCATGTATGTAATGAGTCAGACCACTGAGACTTCATCTAAAACCTCATTTTCTGTAAAAAGCTTTCCTAATTTATAAACATCAAAAGTGATTTATAGTATTTTTTTATTTTTCAAAGTACATTTTGTTCTGCTTTTGAAATGAAACAATGAGGGAAAGGCTGCAAGATCCACCTCTTTCTATTTCACTTTGAGAACTGAGGTCAGATGCTGCATCTGCAGTGGACACCTGAGTCCAGCCCTGGACCTGTGTCTGCTCTAAGGCCCGAGCACACCCTGGCTCCTCTCCTGTGTTCCGGAAGAGATGCCTGTGGCGGTGGATGCTGTGTTTCCTGAGGCCTGGCCATGGGCTGTGCAGCAATCACTGGGAACTTGGACAGGGACGAGGGTAGCTGAAGAACTAATTCTAGGTTTTATTTACGCCCCTGACGCCTGTGTCTGGTCTTCCCAAGGCTACCAGCTGTTATAACTCAGGCCCCAGTATAAAATCCAAGGAAGCAAGAGACCGAAAATTTAGGTAGCAAAGGCTTTATTTCCAGGCCTGGCGACGAGTCTCTGGGAGCCAATTTGGAGACTGCCCCCAGAGACTGAAGGGAGGACTTTAAAAAGAGGCTGGAGTAAAAGGGGGGGGACAAAGAAACCTGCAGAGCCATCAAACTTGTTGACCCGAATCTGGAAACTGTATTGCTGTCCACTTAGCTCTGACAATCTCGGGAGTTCCTAGTGTTTCTCAAATTACTCCCATCCTACAGACTGACATTATCTCAGAGTGGCACATCTGCAGCAATATTTGGAGAAGAAAGTGGAGAGTTAATTATCCCAGGACAGCTCGTTTTCGCTAGTGGGTGCGAAGGGGTCAAGAGTTACAGGAAGCTGAAACTTAAGTTTTACAAAGATTTGATATCTAACTCATTTGATGCATGCAGAACAAAAGGAAAGCACCATTTGGGGTTTGGGCCATAGTATTTCCCGGTAATTTCTTTGAAGCTAAACAGTTCTTAAAATTGGGGCAGGCTCATTTAATGACAGATCATCACCAGGTCAGGAAGAGGTCACCAGAAACCCAAATTCTTTATGGCCTAGATAGATAGGTGAGGGGAGAGGGAGGCAATAAGGCGCCATACAGAACAGAAAATGGCGGTTATGTGTCAAGGTCAGGGTAAAGGGTTAAACTCATACGCAAATCTCTCTGCACACAAGCAAGTTACTTCAAACAAGTGTAAATTAGTGGGCCATCCTAGTTTTCTTTAGCTCTTTAGCTGAGAATAGAGGCGCCTAACAGTGATTAACAACCCTTGTTAGCTTGTTTTAGCACAACTTCTGTAGTTTGTAGAGGGCAACAATGGTTAACATATCAATTAGGTGAGATTCTTGCAATTCTTTACAGAGGAGAGTATTGCTCAACATATCAATTAGGTCACTTAACATATCAGTTAGGGAAAAAGGATAAAAAAACACATTTAGTAAGCCACGTTGCAGGTTTGCTATAATACACAAAATAATGAAGCTATTTTCTTAGAGTACACCAGCCACCTCCTTATTACCAAAGCTTACAGTTACCATCCTCATCCGCTAGTGGCTTTTTTGCTTGGAAACGAGTGAGAGGCACCACAGGAAATAGGCAGGCGTGAGGTGGGAGAAGGACCGGCGTGGGGCCGGACTGCTGCGTGTGTGCAGGTCACAGGCCTCTCTTCACTCTGACTCTTTGAACTTGCTCGGTTTTGTGAAATCCTGGTGGTTGAGGCAGAAACAAAGGCCGATTCCAGAGAAGAGGAAAGGACTCCAAGGTCACTGCAATTTTGCGTTTTTATTAAGATCTAAAGTATCTGTATTTTCCTTTGGGTGCTGGAGGTTGGACCCAGACCCTTTGTGCCGAGCTGCATCCCCAGGCCTTTCATTCGTTCTTATTTTAAGACGGGGTCTCAGGAGGTTGCTTGCAGCCTTCCGGCCTGAGCCTCCTAAGGGCCAGGATTATTACAGGTGCACACCCCACACCCAGCTAAAACATCAGCTTGCTTCTGACCATCGATCTCAGTGTGATAGCAGTTTGCACTTTGTGGTCCACGGCATTTCCCACAGCTTCCCCAAAGAGGGCCACAGAGACACTAAGAGGCTCGCGTCCGTGTCTGGGAGGGTGGTATTCTGAGTATTTCCTTTAGCACGTTTACGGCCTCAACTGCGGTTTAAATTCTTAAACCGCTAGGCTGTGAGTTTCTGGAGCTGATGAAACACTGTCTCTTCAGGTGACAGCAGCAGTCCAGCAGTGTGTCCAGTACTTAGAGTTGTGTGAGACCATGAAAGCTGATGAGATTTTGGGACATTCAAGGCACGGTGGCAAGTATTATTTTCTTTATTAAATACTTTTAGAAATGGTTAATTTTATTAATAAAAAATAGCTTTGAAACTTTATTTTGATGATTATTATTTTTCTTGAAACAGGCTGTAGGCTGGCCTTGAACGCACTGTGACCCCAGGCTGGCCTTGAATTGGTTGCGATCCTCCCGCCTCAGCCTCTTGAGGGCTGTGGCTCCAGGCATGCACTTCCATGCTTGGCAGAAACTGTTTATCTTTTAGTAGTTAGGAGAATGGTTAGGTAATTAGTAAAATAAAATACTTTTTAATAGATTTAAAAGGTACAGTGTCCCACCGCTTTTTATAGCGAGCCCACCTTGGCATTGATGATAGTGGCACTTCTGCCCTGCCTAAGTGCGGGCGGCCCTGACCGGCAGCGCAGCCCCTCGCAGTGCAAGTCCCGGCTCTGCTGTCTGCACTATTGCATGTGCGTTTCCTCCCCCGGGGGTCTGCGCCCAAATGCCCGGTGGTCCCCACCTGCCCTGCGCTCTGCTCTCCGCTTACTGAGCACAGGGTTTCCGGCACAGCCTCCCGGGGATTGCGGATGCTGGTGGCTGCCTCCTGGCTGCGAAGGGGTAAAATGTCCACTGCGTGTACCAGCGTACTGCATGTTCCACTCTCTCCCTCCTTTGCTGACTTCTCACAGCTTGGGAACCTGATTCTTCTAGGGTTCTGTTATCTTCACAGTTTTTCCAAACATGGTATTCTGAAAGTATTCACCCCAGTCCTTTCTGGGACAGGGAAGGGTAGGATACGAATCACAACCAAGCGTCAGAAGCAGTGTCCGCAGGGGAGCAGAAAGAGGCGCAGAGGCTGGGGCTTTGAGAGGGGCCATTCCGCACCCCGCGCACCTGCGGGCTCCCGGGGACCCCGGCAGCGTCTCCTCCAGGGTCCTCTCCTGTGCCCCGCGAGCCTAGTGCTGTGCGCTCAGGTGTCCTTGCAGCAGGCAGCTGCGGGTGCTTGGACCTAGAGCGCGGGTGTGCGTGCCTGTGCTTATTCTAACTCAGTCCGAGAGCTTTGTCCTCGCGGCCCCACTCGGGCTCCTTCCCAGGCAACGGCCTTAGCTCCTGCCTGCCCCTGTCCACTGCTGTCGTAGAAGAGCTCCAGGCGTCCTTGGCTGGGGGTAGAAGTTTCCGCCTGGAAGCCTGCGCGGTCGTCAGCATTGTGCGTGCTTGCCCTCCTGGCCTGCTGCCTCCGGTTCCGACAGAGGGGACCTGCCTTCCAGGGCTGTGTCCTCGTGCGCTTCCGCTGTGCCCCAGTGAGGCTCCTGTGGGTCTGCCTGCTGCCCGGGCTGGTCCTGCACCCGCTTCCCGCCCCGCTGCCCACCCCGGCTGCTCTCCAGTGCTCCACTAGCCAGGCGCTCTCCTCTTCCTGTTCCCCTAAATTTCATTCTCTTCTCATGCCCCCTCTCCCCTCCTTCACCTGGCTCATGGCCCTTTTCTGCTCTTGGTGCTGGGAAAGCCCAGTCTGGTTCTGGTTCCGAGCCTGTATGCGTTTGCTTGTAAACACTGACTGAATTATTTGAGTCGGCATCTGTTTCCTGACTTCTGACCCACACACCTGTCTCTCTTGACGAGGCTGCCTGGGAGTCCCCATCGCGGTGCAGCTGGCTTTTTCCCTTCCTAGACCTTAATTCTTGACCGAGATAGCGCTTCCCGAACCCCAGGGGGCCAAGTTAGGGGTCAGCTGGCCCCGCCCAGCCTCTCCCTTTCACCACAGTCCTGGCCAGGACTTATTTTGTTAAACGGTATTATTGTCCGTGTCCCATTTTGAATTCTTTTTGGCAGAGCTCTTGTTGGTAATTTTCTTAGTGGAATTTTTTGGTCGAGGTCTGCCTGGTTCCTGTTTTATGGAGATCCCCATGGGGGGCCTGCGCGGATGGAGACTGTGTTGATGTCTGTGGTGAGGAGATTCTGGGTTCCTTGACAAATGCAGTGGGAGTCATGGACAGTACAATTTCGGTTCCCAGCTGCAGCACTGGGAGTCTGGAGTATTTCAGGTTGGGGTGTTGGGGCTCCTGGGTTATTGGCACAGATTTACCTGCCTTGGCTGTTAATTGGAAACACCAAGTAGTACCTTGCCTGTTTCTTCTTCTCTGTACTCCTGAAGTACCTCTCTGCTGAGAGATGATGACAGACAACCTTACCCATTTTAGAATGAGCACGGGTCCATATTACACCTTTTTGACTTTTCCATTTTTCTGATGGATTTTCTTCAGATTTAGTGTAGGAGATAATAAAGAAAATGGATAATTTACAACAGTTGACACCATTGGTGTCTCTGCTGTGGACACAGCCTGTCTGAGGTCCAGCAGGGCCTGCAGGCAGCTGGGAAACCCAGCCTAATCAGTGCTCTTGTGTGCTTGCTGTCAAGGGGACAAACAGAAAGCTCTCTGCTACTCAGGACAAGAAATGCAGTACGTGTATTTCATCCACTCGCTGTGCCTGTTAGGCAGACTGCTGATCTACACACAAGGCAGAAGGCTGTTCCCTGTAAAGCTGAAGAACAGAAAAGGTGAGTGAGAGCAGGAAGGAGTGTGAGAGTCCCTGGCACTGGGACCCCGGCACGGTCTCTTATGGCGTGCTTGGCTACGTACGGTTCAGCTTGACAGAGGAGTGCTTGTCTTCAGTGTGTACCCTTTCTCCATGCATAGATTTTTCTGTTCTCCCGCACTTATTGCTTTTCTTATTTCTCAGCCCCTTTAAAAGTGCTAGACCCACCTGCTGATCAGGCCTGGATATAACCTGGAAGATCTCGCGGCTGTGCTGCAGGTTCCCTGTGATCTGGGCACATCACTCGCCTTGTTTACCCGTTTAACCCACCGAAAGGAATAATGTACCAGTCATGCTAGACATGGAGACTTTTTGTGATCGTGGAGAATATGGTTTATAAGTAGCACAGTCTCCTACCATTTGATGTATTTCTGCTTTAGTTTTACCTGGTTTCATTTAATTTTTACCAGTCAAACTTTAACACTTGAAGTTGCTTAATCCTACCTATTTCCCTTAGAACTTGAATCTATACTAGGATTATAGTATAGAGTAGTGTAGTGTTGTCAAGTTTTCTTCTGTGAAGACCTGGAGAGTAAACACTTCGGGCATGGAGGGCCATGTACTGCCTCTGCTGTGTGCTCTGTGAGTGGGTGGGTGCATGGCTTTGCAGAATGGCTAACATAGCTGGCTTGAGCATGCTGTGGGAAGCCCTGCCTGCAGGCTGGCCCATGGACAGCACCTGGGGTCTCGGTAGCCCTTGCTTCCCAGGGCTGGAGGGGCGCCCAGGATGGTTTGGGCCCGAGCTGCATGTGCAGTGAAGTTTATGCTGTGCATCTGCTCTCCTTGGGGAGGTTTGATTGGGCAGGGGTGCTTCCATGCTCAGCTCTCACTGCAGCCCCGAGCTTTCCCGGGAGCTGGTGTTTGGGGCGTGGGTCACAGCTGTGTGGGTCACAGCCGTGGCCAGTGGAGCTGAATGTGTCTGGCTGAATGAATCCTCTGGAGAGGCTCCTTCCACACTCGCATCTGTCATGCTCTGGGTCTGCACTGTGTCCCTTCTGATTTGCTCTACATTCTCTTGTTGTCGTAACACTTTGTATGAATGTGCATTGGATTCTGTGAATCTCCCAGGAAATGCTGAATCCCAGTATGCTTTTGAGGATCCCTGACACATTTGAAAAGGTGCAGTTCATTCTTAGCTTTCGGGTCTCACAAATTCAGATCGTAAGGGCTGCAGAGTGTGCTGACCGCATTGTCCCTGGTTTTCAGTTCCTGTTTACCTGGTTGCTTTGTTTGCCTCATCTTTGTGTCCTCATTGATTAGGAGTTATTTCAGAAAAGAAAGTCGCTGCCTTCTGTACTTCTCCCAAATTCCCTGGTGGTGCCACATCATTTGGGGTTCCCTGAGCAGATCTTAGAGCTGACTTTAGCTGAAGAGAGTCTCATCTTCGAGGGTGCTGCGGGACTTTGATGTTTTGCTGGTGTCCAGTTTGAGTTTGCAGGTCTGTGGTCTATGGTTTATTTAGCTTTTCATACAGACGTCTGGTGCCTACACTTTGGCCTGTTGGATGTCTCACTGCGTCAGAGGCACAAGTGCAGAGAGGTGAGCGGTATGAAGCAGCGCAGGTCAGCAGGCAGCGGGCAGGGCAGGGTTCTCCAGGGCCCTTCCTGTGCCTGGCCACATCTGCCTGGCCCCTAGCTTCTTGTGAGTGAAAAATGATTTTTTTATGTTATTGAAGAAAATGAGGATATTTTGTGGCATCTGAAAAGTATGTGAGGTTAGATTCCAGCACACATAGAGCGTTATTGGCAGGCACAGTTCGGCCACAAAGCCCAAAGTGTTTGCTGTCTTCTGCTTGCTGGGACAGCGCGCTGATCTGTCCCTGTGTGCTGGAGAAGTGAGTTAGCTGGACCAAGAAAGTAAGCCGAGAGCTTCACTCCTAATCAGGTGCGTGTTGAACAGCGTCAACCCGATCAGACACCTCCCACCCAGGCTCGTAGGGAGCAATTGGCTCAAAATGGACGCCCCTGCCATCCTGAATACACTGTGTGTCATGTGTTGTGGAGTCATCTGTCTGGGTTAGCGCTGCCGTCTGAGTTTCATGGGGACCACAGTGCAGTCACAGGGCAGAGCGGAATGCATTTCAGTTTTCTAAGTTGTGAGTGAAAGCTAGGAATTAACTTTCTGTCTTCTTCTTTTCTTTGCAAAGACTCAGTATCCCTTACGGACCTGCTGGTTCTGTTTACTCAGCTCATCTACTGTTCACCAAGTTGTCCAAAGACGACCCTGGACATCTCTTCAGGTAATGCTATTTTTATTTTAAGTGGAGAAATTGAAAACATCCAGAATGTTTAAGAATTCAGTTGTCTAGATGGTTTGAACGCCTGACCTACTTTGGTAAATAATTTTATTAAAATGCCATATTGCTCATAAGAAATTGTATTGGGCCCGAAGTAATCTACAACATTTGATTTTGTTCGCTGATGTTTTAAGATGTCTGTAGGCCACTATTTTTTTTTTTTTAATTTAGACTCTCACTGAGACCATTGATGTTATTCTTTATTAAAAATCAAGAGGTTCTCAAGAAGAGATCTTGGGGGAAGATTGGGTGGTGGATGTTAAGGTCTTCTCTTCTCATCCTGGCACTTTCTGTCGTTTTATTTTCCTGTATGTTGTGATCAGATTTCCCATTTTGGTGCACGTCCAAGGCTTCCATCTTCTGTGCTCATATTGAAGAGTAAAGGGAAAAACTCTAATTTTTTTTTCTGTAAGGTGCCTTTTAGTTTTAGGCGTGTTGAGGGGCTCATAAAAATGTATTAAAATATTAACATTTAGAAGTTATACTCTTTTCTCTGAATATCAATGTTTTTCCAAAGTAAAAGAGTTAATATCAGAACTTCCCAGCTTGTCACTTAGAATTGGGAAGTGCCCTGGAAATGTTGGCACAGATTCTGAGGGAAGCTCAAGCAAATCATCACAGAAAATGCTTTGGGCTCCTGGTATTGCTATAAAGTACGTCAGCTAGGAGGTTTTATCTATGCCATAACAGTGTTTTGAAGAGTGGTTCGTTTTGTCTTCACAGTGTTTTGCATGTGTGACATCTAGTTCAAGGCACCTGCTACATGCTCCTAAGCTATCTTCTATGAAAAACGATCCTTTCTTTGTTACAATTACTTGTTCATGTTTTGTTTTGCTGCTGGCAGGCTGTTGGTCTCACTTCTCTGCCTGCGGGGCTGAGCAAGGCGCCTGTGCAGTAGACACTCAGTAGGAGATGATGGGCCGAAGGAATGAATGGCTGTGGGATCTTCTGTGGCACCTCTCCGTGCAGAGAGGGTTTCTTCTTCCCAAAAGCTGGTTGACAAATTATTTGCCTATCCTTTTCCATTGTCTTCTGCCAGGTGTTGGAGTATAGACCATATTGACATAATGGACTTTCTTAGTTCTGGTATATTGCCTCTGGGCAGCCCAGTATGACTGTAAAGGATATTAAGTTCATATATCTGAAAATATATTAATTTATGAAATTAAAAATCGTATTTATTGTGACTGTTCTAACCATGTGACATTTATATGTGTTGCGTCTTTTCATTCATCTTTTAAAGAAAATCTTAATAAATGCTCCTTGCTTTTTGGTGGCAACGCAAGTATATTAACTTCATGGAATTTTGTGACAGTTTCTGTTTTCCTGTGTCCTCTTGTTTTGCTAATAGTTTCTACTTACAGACTGGCTTAGGTTTCTCCTGGGCTCCACAGCTGAGTATGTTGTTATATAAGCAGAGACCATGCGTGTGGACATGGGTGGAGTGGGTTTGCTTCAAACCACGTATTTCTTCTCCAGTCGCATTCTCACAGCAGACTGGGAGGGCCTCGCGTTCTTGTCACGCATCATTGATAGTGTGGTCGCTTCTTATTTCTTAGTAACTGAAGGTAGAGTAAGCGGAAGCTGTGAGTGTCTGGCCGGCCTCTTGTGGCACATCATCCTTCAGGCTGGGCTGCAGCATTGCTGTGAGCCATAGGGGCAGCCATAGTTAGCTAATATAGAATTAAACATAGTATCTAGTGTTTTAAATTTTGACTTTTCAAAATACTTCCTGCTCCTTAGAGGACTATTCGCCTGCCAGCATGGTGATGGAAATTCTGCAGACGCTCTGTGATCAGAAGGAATGTGCCATCGAATGTTTATACAACAGCACTGTGATGGGCACGCTCCTGCAACCGATTCTCAACTTACTGAGAGGGACCGAGGTGGGTACTGTTTACAGAGAAGAGCGGGGTGTTTGCGAATACTCGGTGGGACTTACTCTTGATGTAGCTGAAATATCTCACTGTGCTATCTTTCCAGACATGAAACTACTTTGTGCTATATTGATTTTTATTTGTTGAATTGTAGTTTGTGCAGGTGGTCGATTTATCAGTTGTGACAGGCGAGGTGTCACAACAGCTTAATTTTTCTTCCAATCAGGCTGAGATCTGCTGATGTGAAGCACTTAGAGTTATTCTATTAAGAAGCCATTTGTCTTGCAAATGTAGTCTTGTGAATTCCTTTTTATTTATTTTAATGGCAGTTTTATAGCTTTTGGAGATACAGTTACTTTCCTGAGCAGCCAAGTGCGTTTTACAGGAAGAGCTGGTACTACCTCAGAGAGAGAGTGGCGCACATCCCAGATCTGAGCACGCGTGTGTCTCTCACAGACTGTGCCATGAATCTCTGTACGTCTGCAGCATGATCAGCGCTCCTGGGTGGCAGGAAGGGCTTAGACGGGGAGGTGAGAGCAGACATGTGTCCTTGCTGGTCCTGCTGTCTGTTCACTGTGTCCCTCTATGCCTGTGGCTTCAGCTTTGGGGCAGAGACTTTCAAGTACACCAGCAGTCTGAGGTTCCTGCCTCTTTGTTCCTGTTCTGCTGTGTTTCCGGTGATTCTGTCGCTCTCTGACACCTATGCTATGCTGTGGTCTCATGCATTCCTGCCTGTCGCTTGCTGGATAAATTTCAAGTTGGCATTTACAAGGTTTTCTGTGTTTTTGCCCCTGTTTTATTTCTCCCTCTGTCCCAGTTATAACAACACTTGTGCCTTTTCTAAACAAGGTCACTGTGCCTCCCTGTGTCACACACTTCCCTCTGACCCTGGAGTAAACTTGGTGCACATGACAATTCTTCTCTTTAGGACAGGACTTCTCTTGAATGTTTTTCCCAGTTCCCCTTGCAGAGTGAAACGTTTCTTTCCCTGCGTTTCTGTATGAGGCACTGCTGTAATGGAACTGCATTCAGATTTATTCCCCAGGTAGAGAGAGACCAGTCCTGTGGCATATACCAGACATGTGTCACTGCTCTGTGCTGAATGCTTTTAGACAAAAAACCAAGTGAGAGCTAGGGGATGGGCGGACCTGCAAGAAAGATTGCTTAACATGAGGAGCAGGAACTTGCAAGTGTGTTGGACATGTGTTTGTGTGAGAGGGTGTGTGCACATCCTCAGGTGTGTGCGCGCTCTCTCAGCTAGATGGGTAGGGGTCTAGGTAGAAAGACCCTCAGCACGAAAAGTACTGGATTATCTAGAATTGGGTGGATATTAATATATGTTAGGTGAATACCTCTGACTTATGGTAAGCTAGCTAATTTATTAAAGTGTGTTACTCACACTATGTGCATTCTTGTTTTTGAGACAGGGTCTCTGTGTAGTCCAGGCTGGCCTCGAACTCCATGATCCTTCTGCCTCAGCCTCCTCAGTGCTGGGATTACAGGTGTGAAGCTACCACCTGGCTGTGTGCATTCCTACTTTAGGGCAGTGGACGTTTAGGTTGGCCTCAAGGATGGGGAAACAGGAGGACCCCAGAAAGAACAGGAAGTGTGTGGGTGGGAGCCAGCATTAACTCTGTTCTTCAGGTTCCAGAGTTTGTTTTGTGCTGTGTTGCTATATGTTGACAAAGGTGTGCTGATTCTCCACCTTGCTGTCGAAGGCCAGGAGCGCACTGACGCAGCTCTGGCCCTGGGCCACTGTGCGCTGCTGTCTCCTGTGTGGTGCACGCTCCAGGGCCAGGCATGTGTCAGGGAGGCGGTACCTGTAGACTGGATGGTGCTGAGCTAGGTGCCATGAATGCTGGGATTGCACCGATCAGCAGAACCTAGTGGGCCAGAAGCACAGGGTGAAGTGGAAATGGAGGGAGGTGTTGTGTGTCGTAATGAGAAATACATTAAAACAGGAGTGGCAACTCCCAACCAGTGCCATGAGGGAGAAACCTGAGTTTATGGATCCCATCAGCTTTTCTGGTAAAACGTTTACAGTTGAAGACAGTATTGTGATGGTGACTTCATCAGACTGCATGGCCTCCTGGATATGGCCTAGAAGTTCACAATTTGTCTTGTCTTGTCACCTGTTTAATGCGCAGGCCACCCCAGATTGCTCCGAGATGGCTCTCATCTACGCAGCTGATGTCCTGGGCAGAGTTGCTGCCGTGGAAGAAGGACTTGCTTTCCTTCTGTATGGAGAAAACACCAGCTCTTCCAAAGAAGAAAGGTATGTGCCTTAAATCTGGGCCAGTGTTTCCTCTGTGATGGGCTTCTCGGCCACCACGCAGACTGTGTGACAGAGTTTTCTTTAGTGCGATCTTGTTTCAAAGTAAGAGTGGGGGATTCACTCCAGATACCTGCTCTCTGTGACTTTCTGTGGCACACTTTGCAGGTCACATAGCATTGATTCAAATCAAATGAAGCAGAGGTGCACAAGGCAGCACTGAGCTCCCTTCTTCCTTCTCTGGTTGCCAAGTTCTGGCTTCCTGCTTAACCCACAGTGACCTTTGGTTTTCAGGCTTCTGCTCTGCCTCTGTGCTCTTGATGCTGTGATGCACTGCAAAAGCATGCATGTTTATCTCTTTTTTGCAAAAATGGCATCATATTTTTTTTTTTGCCCTGAAATTTGATCATTTTACATGTAACCCTGGATATTTTCCCATGTGACTACAGACAGTCACACTCTGATAGCTGCTTTGTGCTTTTTGTTTGGCTGTACAATACTCCATCCAATTGTTTCCTGAGTTAATGAGCATCAGGCTCTCCAGGATTTCCCTTCCATAAGTAACATTCCAATAAATGTTCTTCACCTTCTTGAGTTTGCTGCTGTGATGGATTTCATTGATTGATATTTCCATGTTGAACCAGCCTGGAATGAATACTTCTTGGTTGATGAGTGATTCCTGTTATGTATGTTGGCTTTAAGAATCTTTTGCCATGTTTCTGAGAGGCAGCCGTCTCTAACTTTTGTTTTATTTTTGTCAGGCTGTGGTGTTACTGGAATGCTAGTCTTCTAAGTTATTCCTTCTGCTTCCATCTGTAGAGAGATTGTACTGAACATTAATACAGTTTCTTCCTTAAGTACTTGATATTCACCAGTAAGTCACTTTGAGCTTTGCGGGTTCTGTTAATTGCAATACCAGTTTCTTTGGTAAGGTCTGATCAGGTTGCTTGCTCTTTTGTAAGTGTGGGTAGATTGTCTCACTCAAGGAATTTACTCCCTCATTTATATGATCAAATTTTGTGGCATAGGGTTGCTTACGATACTCCATTACTGTCTTTTAAGGCCTGTGGGATCGCCAGTGATGGCCTTCCTTTTGTTTCTGGTATTAATACTTTTTGTGTTCTATTTCTGTGTTTTAGATAGCTTGTCTCTTGTCTTGCTGTTTTTGCTTAGGGTTGCTTTGGCTATTCTGAGTCTTCTGTGTTTCCATCTGAATTTTACAGTTATTTTTGCTAGTTTTGTGAAGGATGTTATTGGAGTTTGAGTGGGAATTTCATTGCATGTATAGGTAATGCTTGGTAACATGGGCATTTTGACAGTATTAATTCCACTGATGCATGCACACCGGAGATGGGTCCATCTCCCAGTGTCTTTGGTTTCCTTCCTCAGTTTTCTGTGATGTTCATTACATAGGTCTTTCACGTCCTTCTATTGATTCCTAGTTTTTAAAAATCCATTGTGAATGGAATTGTTTTCCTCATTTCTTTCTCAGCTGGTTCTTTATTGGTGTGTAAAAAACATACTGATCTTTTAATGTTGATTTTTTATCCTGCCATTTAGTTTATCAATTCTGAAAGTCTTATGGAGTCTTTGGGTCTCCTACTTGTGGGGTCACATTGACTTCAAAGAAAGGTAATTTGACTTCTACCTGTCCTATGGTGGCATCTCAGTATGCAAATTCAGTTTGTTTCACGATTTCGGGGAAGATGACTGTGCTTGTTTGTGTAGGGAAGTTGGCTGTGATCATATTAGGCGTCCATTGCGGAGTTTGCAAACAAAAGAAATGTTTTGTTGAACACTTTTGTTTGCAAACTGAATTTTTGCAAATAGAAGTGTTCGTGAACCAAGGCATTACTGTGTTTGTGTCCTTTTTATCTCTTTCTCTTGCTTGATTGCTTTTGCTAAAATTTCATGCACTGTAATGAAAGGGAGTGGTGAGATTGGTCATCTTGATTTTGTGTTTTTCTTATCATGGGCCTTTCTATTTTGAAGTGTATTCTTCATCACGTAGTTTCTTCAAACTATTAACAGGAAGGAATGTTAAATTTTGTTGACAGCTTTTTCTTCCTTAATTGAGATGATCATGTGATTTTTTAAAAAAATTATGGTTCTTGAATCTCTTTATGTGGTGTTTTATTGACTTTCATCCCTCATGCTCCATGTGAACTGTTAATGTGCTGTTGAATCAGGTTTTCATGTATTAAGGATTTTACATGTATTTCCATCAAAGACATTGGTCTATAGTCTCTCTCTATCTCTGTCTTTCTTATTATTGTCTTTTTTTGGATATCAAAGTGATTTGGTCTCACAGAATTAGTTTGAAAACATTTCTTCTTTTCTCTTTCATAAAACAGTGTGGGGAAGATTGGTGTTAGTTCTTTTTTATTGATCTGATATTAAATGTTTTCAGCAATGAAGACGTCTTGAGCTTTTCATTGTTGGAAGATTTTTTTATTACTCTTTCAATCTTATTGCTTGTTGTTACTCTGCTTAGTTTTTTAAAAGATTTTTTGTGTCCTCTTGGTTCAATTGTAGTAGGCTAGATGTGTCTAGAAATTTATCTTCTTCTAGATTTTACAATTTATTAGAATATATGTTTTCGAAATAGCTCCTAATTAACCTCTGGGTTCATGTCTAATTGAATTGAGTTGAGTCTTCTTTCTCCTCCTTTTGGTTAGTTTGGCTAAGGAATTATCAACCTTGTTTTCTAAAACAACCGACTCCTTGTTTCATTGATCCTTGTGTATTCTTTTAGTTTCTATCTCATTAACTTGGGCTCTTATATTTATGATTTCTTTCTGTTTATTTGATTTGGTGTGTTATTTTTTTAATGATGAAATGCATCATTAGGCTATTTATTTGAAGTCTCTCTGATGTTTCGAAGTAGGTGCTTAGACCTGTAAACTTCCCTTTCAGAATGACCCTTGCTCTATCCCAGACTTCTGGTATCTTTATTTCCATTTTGATTTGATTCTAGGAATTTTTTTAAAAATTCCCCTTCATAGTTTTTAAATGATGTACTGATCAATCAGAAGTGATCTATCTGTTCAGTCTCCATATGTTTGTACAGTTTTCGTAGCTTCTCTAGCTGTTGCTTTCTAGTTTTATTCCATTTTAATCTAGCAAAATTCATGACATAACTTCTTTTTTAAAAATTTTAAGCCTTGCCTTATAGCCTATAATCTGATTTATTTTGGAGAATTGATGAGCTGCTGACAATAACATACATTCTATGTCTCTTTGCATGGAATGTTCTGTAGACATTTGTTTAAGTCCATTGGATCTACGGGGTAGCTTAATTCTGATGTTTCTTTTTTGTTTTTTTGGGTGATATCTGTTGATTAAAACAGATATTGAAGTCTTGCACTGTCATCATATTGGTCACTATGTGTTCATTTATTTTGAATATTATTTATTTTGTGTAATTTTGCCCACTGGTGTTTGGTGTACATGTGGTATTTACAACTGTAGTATCTTCTTTGTGGACGATTCTTTTACCAATAGTTACTAGCATTTCTTCTAATTTTGCCTTAAAATTTGATTTGATATGAATATAGTAATTCCTGATTGATTTTGGAACCCATTATCAAAATACTGTTTTCCATCACCTTTCACTTTTCAGTATGTATCTTTGCTAGTGAGGTGTGTTTCTTGTAGGTAGCAAAGGCATGGATTTTGCTATTCAATCTTCTAGTCTTTGTCTTTTGATTTCAAAATTAAGATCATTTACCTTTGGAATTATTATAGAAAGATATATACTAATTCCTGTCCTTTTGTTGTTTTTCTGAGCTTTGCTCCTTTCCTAATTCTTGTCTACCCTTATTCTGTTTATAGGATTCCTTTAAATATTTCTGTAATGTTAGCTTATTGGTTATGAATTTCTTTAGTTTATGCTTAACTTGGAAAGTATTGATTCCTCATACTTGAAGGATAGCTTTGTTGGATATAGTCACTGAATTTGGCAGTTATTTTCTATTGGGTATTGAAGTACATCCTTCCGTATCTTCCTGGCCTTTCAGAGTATCTGCAGGGAAAGCTGCAGGTATTCTGATCGTTTTTTCTCTGTAAGTGACTTGGGATACTGTCTTATGGCTTTCAGTGTTCTTTCCTTGTTCTGTCTTCTTGCTCTTTTAACTATACTGTTTCACAGGAAGGCTCTTTCTTGGTCATCCTTGTTTGGGATTTGAAATGCATCCTGTAGCTGGATGTCCATATCTTTCCCGAGATTTGTAAGTTTTTTGTTATTATTTCATTAAATACATTTCTGTGCTATTAGTTTGAACCTTGGGACCCTCCTTTTCCAAAATTTTGTAGACTCAGTCTTTTAACCATGTCCCAGAGTGCCTAGATGTTTTGTCCATAACTTTTACTTTTTTCTTTCTTAGTATATGAGTTTAATAATTTCTTGACTCTTGAAGTTGGACTAAAGGTACATGGATATTTAATAACCTCTTCAACGTACCACCTAATACTTATTTAAAAGGAATAAAATTAGAAAAGTAATTGTCTTAGTTATTTTTCTCTCATTGCTGGGACAAAATACCTGACATCCAAAATGAAGAAAGGAAAGGTTTATTTAGCTCACAGTTTGTGGACGTTTCGGTCCATAATTAGCAGGCTCCAAGGCAGAGTGGTGTGGCACCAGGGCAACACTTCAAGGTGGCAGCCAGCAAAAGGAGCCAGAGCAAAGGGAGGACAATAAGTCTCTTCTTCTCCCTTACGTTGTAAGCAGGCCACCATCCCCTAGGGCTAGTGTAGCACTCACAATGTGGCCCTGCCCTCTTCTTGCAAAGGATAGGGATATTTACAAAGTAAGAGCCCTGGCTCCCTGCTGAGTCTCTTAGCTAAACTTGTAAACTTCTCAAGTGGACTCAGTTTATCAAGCATTGTAGTAATTAAAAGTGTGTACTCTAGAGCTAGAGAGTGTTGGTCATCTTGCTTCACTCCGCCTCCTCTGAACCACGTGATGCTCTGTGATCACTTGCATTATCTGTATTTGTATATCTGTAAGAACCTGGGTAGTATACTTCCCTCCTTGGATTATCGTGAAGTTAAATAAATGCGTTTAACATACTTAGAATGGTCTGTAGCACATGGGAGCGTTTTAGTCTGTCTTGTACCTGCTGCTCCTTGTAAAGGTGCCTCAGCCTTTGAACCTGGGGGAGCCCAGTCTTACTCATGGCCTGGGAAGTGTGTCTGTACTGGGCAAGACAGAGAATTTGGGATTCTGTTCCCACTCTGCAGTTAAGAGTTACGTATGGCCCTGGCTGTGTGGTGTCTGTGGCCTGGGACATGCATGGGGTGCTGTCCTCTCTTCCCTGTCCACTGCTCTTTCCCGCATCCCACTGCAGCTGCTCCCTGCTGGACGTAGGCACGCTGCCCGGTCTGCAGTGGCACCCAGCAGAGTGGCATTTTTCTGCAAGGCTGACCTTTGGGTGGTGATAAAGTTGGGATTGTGTGACCTTGATGCCATCTTTTAGTGTCCCAGGTGCTCATGTCATCGCGCAGTTTACAAAGAAACTTCTGGACGAGGAGATTTCCATCTTTCCCGGATCGGCGCTGTGGCCCGAGGTGCAGGGTGCTTTCGTGTCTGTGTGCTCTCAGCTGTGTAGCACCTGCGAAGGGCTGCAGACACTGCTCCCTTACAGTTTACATGAGGCAATCACCCGTGCGTGGAGGAAGGTGAGTCTTGGGGAGCTCCCTCCCGCCTCCTGTCAGCCTTTATTTCAGATGCAGGAGCGACAGTGGTGCGCACTGTGGATGCAGTTTCTCTGGGTAAGTGTGACTCCAGCGGCAGCCAGCCCTTCTGTCCTCTGCCTGGGTCTGAGCTCGCGCTGGGTGTACCCAGGCTTGTGGCCGCAGAGGCTTTAGGGAAATTTTCTTGGTGCAAACGAGCAGTTTGGGAGAGATTTCTGAGCGAGTTTCAGAGAGAGAGCTGGCTCCTCCGTCATGCATACCGGAGATCATAGTATAGCACTGGCAGAGCCTAGTGTCTCCCGGTGGTTTCCTGGGTCTTCTAACCTCATTTTATGTGACTCATCTGTGAAATACTTTGTGATTGGATGCTAAGCCAAAGAATTTGTTTTAAAGTAGCAATTTTGATTTTGTTGAGTTTTTTAAAAATACAAATGCAGCCTAAATGTGTAATGATAGGTGCTCTCAGTAAGAAAAATAATGTAGCTGTCGGTTGTCTTCTAGACACGTTTGCTGTCAGAAAGAACCCCTGCGCCAGTGCTGGGCTCTCATTCTGTTTCCTCAGAGAGCCAGGGACCCCGAAATGTGTAAGTATATTGGTTAAGTCCTGTGCTTGCCACATTTGCAGAAATAACTTTAAAAGTACCCAAATTTAATAAAATACTACATCAAAAACATATTATAGGAAGTCAGTCTAGATATATAGGTTCCAGGAGAACTACAGTGCAGAGGATCTTTAGAAATCGTGTGATCCTTATCACCTTTAAGACAATGTGGTAATATTTATTATACTTACTCTGTCTATTTTGGGTGAGGAACCTTGACATATTGTGAATTTGTTGAATTAGCACATACTAAAATTGAAAGGAAACCAGAGCCCTTTTCATTCCTGCATACATTTCCCCCTTACTCAGCTGTTAGTCCAAATATTCCGCTAAGTTTTGAGGATACATATGGGCCCCAGGGGGTACATTTTGTGGTGTGGAATGTAAATAAGTAATGGCAGCGGAGCATCTAGGCTGCTAAGTGTATGGTAGGGTTAGGAAGGTCCCTGGGAAGCCAGCGCAGGAGGGTAGACTTCTCAGAATCATTGTACAGCTGAGCTACCTCAACTGTCCAGAAAAGGGGGTATCAGTCCAGTCTAAGAATAGCATGGTCCATAGTCTGGGTGACGGGGAGTACCAGTGATGTGTTTCGCACTCTGCTGTCAGTTTGTGTAGTGGTGCTTTTAGGTTCTGATGTTCTAGAGTGAAGGCACCGATGCATTATGTCCCACTTGTGTGATCTCTCACATGTCCTGTAGCAGTTCACAGAGGCAGACAAGTCAAGGAAATGAAAACCTTGGTTAACATTGACCTCTGAACGCAATCTCAGAAACTGGCCAGGTTTGGTTCCGTCACAAGCATGTGGATGACAGTAGGTTTCTTGCAAAGGCAGAGCTCACCCTGGTCAAGCCAAGCAGCAAGGAGGGGCAAAGCAGGACCTGCGCTTGCTTGCACCCTCAGGCAGGGACAGGCATGCGCAGAGCAGAGGCACGTAGCCCAGGCTGCCTGCCACCCTGCCAGACCTGGTTCTTCTCTCTGCCGTGGGGAAGCTCAGGTAGGGGAGCAGCTAGAGGCGCCCTATGAGGAAGCTCAGTGCCAGTGCTAAGGAAGTTCCGCCACCCCTGCCATTACTGCCTGGCTCAGTCAGGACCCTCTGAGAGCCAGCACAGGAATGGTGCCATGTTTGCATACTGATTTGTCAGACAGGAGAGGGTTACTTGGGGAGCTGCTCGACTGACTGGAGACTGGGACGTCCCAAATAGGCTCTGCAAGCTGGGAAGTCTAGATTGCTGAAAGCATTGCCAAGTGCAGTCCAGGGTCCTGTGAGTGTGCTGGCGTAAGCCTGGAGGCTGACTACACTTCCAATTTCCATGAATACAAGAAGAGAGACCATCCCAGCTCCAGGGGCAAGACAGCAAGCAGTTCACCTCTCTCCCCGTTTGCTCTGGGGCCTGAGCCAGGCGGATGGTGCCTGTCTACCCTGAGGGTCAGCCTGATTTGCCCCGTCCTGTCCTCCGGGAAAACCCTCACAAACTCGCAGCGTAGTGTTCTGGCAGCTCTCCAGGGACACCTTCTTTGAGGGACATCGACATTGTGTCTTAAGAGAAGTGAAAGACTGAATAAAGGTTTGGGCAGACTCTGTCCCCCATGGAACGAGGACCTTCTGCTGCTGTGCTCCCCTTGGCGAGGGTCGCAGTACTCCTTGCTCTGCTGAAAAGCAAGTGTGCGTGTGCAGCAGTCAGGTGGCCGCCTCCTGCGTGAGTGAGTGGATGTGATGACACTGCCCATTGCTCAGAGCCGTGAAGCCAGGGGAAATCTGTGCACACCCATGAGTGAGTGCTTCTGTGCCTCTGACACGCCCATGTCGAGCCTTTTGACCTGGGGGCTTCCTTCTCATCCCTCTTGAGGTGAGGACAGCACCACAGGAAAAACAGCTGACCAGAGTCACTGCAGGGTCCTGTGTCCTCTCTGTCTGGAACAGAGTTGAGACCTGGTACTCTTTCTGCGTGGCTGCTTTGGTTTGTATCAGTGACTGAAGCTCTGTGAGAGCCCCTGAGGTGACTACAGAAAACTAATCATAAAGAAAAGTGAGGGGTGCCCGCCTGGTCCTCATGGGCCCTTCAGAAAGCTGAGTATGCGGTAGCAGGGGGCTCCCCGGCTCGCGTGGCTGCTTTGTGCGTCCAAGGGAGCAAATGACCAGCTCAGTTCTGCAAGCTGCAGAGCAGAGGAGCTTTGCCACTGACCCTGCCCAGGGCACAGGGTAGCAGAATCAGCAGCCTGAGTCCTCCTCCCAAGCCGGAAGTTTAAAGGAGAATTAGTTTACTTTGCTAAAGCAATTACTTTGCTTTAAATTTTATATTCTGTGATATAAATGCTAGAATTTTGCTTCATTTCCTACTTGCATAGGTATTAGAAGTTGTGAGTGGGGAAACTAAGATGTTATAGCAGAAAAGATATACTAGAGCAGGGCAGCACTTACCATCTAGCACTTTATGTGTGACACAACTTGCCAGTTTTCTTCTTTTCCTGCAGTTTCTTTCTTTCTTTCTTTCTTTCTTTTTTTTTTTTTTTGTCTTTTTGAGCCAGAGTCTCATTAATGCAGTTCAGACTGGCCTTGAGCTCACTTCATAGCCCAGTTTGGTCTAGAACTTGCAATGATCCTCCTGCTTCTGCCTCTCAAGTGCTGGGATTATAGGCATGAGCCCCCAGTTTTTGGCTTTGCCTGTTTTATTTGGGAGGAAACAGGATTTTTAGGAAGTGATTTTGGTTTAACAGCTGATATTTTAGATTTGTATGTGAGTGATATTTGATTGTATTTAAAGTTAACATTACCTTTTAAAATATGTATATTTACATTTTTTGATATAAATCTGTTTAAGTAATTTCCATGTGATTTTAAGACAATTGTTCCCCAACTTTAATTTTCTTTCTTGATTCTCAATATTTTTTAGTGTTTTCTCACGTCCAGTCCAGTTTATTGCGTTAGCTTATCAGACTGTGTTTTGATCCTGTTTATATTCTCTTTCTCCTTCCTCTCCCCTCCTCCTCTGCTCTCTTGTCTCTCCAGTGGGGAGCCTAAGTGAAAGAGCTGGAGCTGGGTGTCAGGAGGAGCAGTCCATGGCAGCCACACAAGAACAGTTTACTCTACGGCACTTTCATTATATAATTACCTGAACATTTTTGACATTTCTGTTTTTACTTTACTCTTTAATCCATGAAATGTTTGTAATGAATTGTTGTAGTTTCCAAACAGAGTTGTTCTCACTGTTTTATTTTACCTTTAACACAACTATACTCTTTCCGGAGACCCTTGGATCACATATGTATGTTCTTAAGTTAGTTGAGTTTATTTTGTGGGTTAGTACTACAGGGCTGATTAAAAAAAACAAACACTATTTGATTAAGAAGACCATTCTTCATTGGAAGCTAGTGCTTCCAGTAAGTGTTCGTACAAGTGCATAAATATACTTATGTAGTGTCTCTGTCATTTGTTACTTTGTTTTAAATTTTATATTCTGTGATATAAATGTTGCTAGAATTTTGCTTCATTTCCTATCTGCGTGAAGTATTAAAGTTGTGAATGACTCAGGAAGACTTTATTTGCATGCATAGCAAGGACTGTCGGGAAGAACCTGTGGTGCCCTCGTAGGCTTGCCTCTGTCCTTTCTTCTTCTCTGTTGTCATTAATCTGTGCATTCTGCCTTGAGGGCTGCACCTGGTGAGCCTCAGGGTTCACAGCTGCTCTGTGCAGAAGCCATATGTCTGCTTCTCACAGTGCCATGCTGTTATTTACAGAGAGACTCTGTCCTCATCAGATGTGGGTGAAGGGTCTCTTTGCAGTTGCCATGTGGTTACCTCTGGTTGTATGGAGTTGGTGAAGGTGGGATGTTGATGTGGGCTTGGGCCAGTTTTAATTTTTGCTCTGTACACATTTGTTCCTCCCACCCCCTCTTCCCTTTCTCACCTGCCATGCGAGTGCAGCTCTTTGCCTGTCCCCTCTGCAAGCGGGTCCCAGGAGTCACGGGGAGTCCCAAACGTGGCGAGTACCAAGCAGACTGCGGCAGCTGGACGGGGCCGTGAGCCGCACACCCATCTGTGCGGCCAAGCTCTTGCTGGCACATTGGGCACTAAACAGGTGTTGAGCTCCGGGACAAAAGTTTCCAGCCAAAATGTGTCCAATACCAAGTCTGACGAGTTTCAGAGCAGTTACATACCAAGGTAATGACTGTGATAGATTTTATATTTTGAGCAGACCTTTAAACTCGTATTTGAATTTTTATTAATTGAGCTTCAGTGTTCTACATCTTTTGTGATATGGATACTTTGGTGCTTATGTTTTCTCTCATTTTGCATTTTCTGTGCATCTTCTGTCTTTATTGCATTTCTGCTTCTTTACTGCTTTTAGATTGATAAAATTTTTATTCTTGTTTTTCCCTGTTTTGAAATTATAAGTTGTGTATTTTTAAAAGTAGTTAACCTTTAAGATGTTAGTGTATATGTTTAATTATATGTTTTAAAAAATAGAATTAGGTATTTGTATCATGCTTAGCATGGATCATGGGTTTTAGCGAGGTTCTATAATCATTGATCCTGAGACATAATTCTTCATCTCCTTGAGGTTATCTGGAAGTTCGCTTTTATATTTTAAGTCATCTGGTTTATTTCTTCACAGTGTTAAATTTATTGCACGTTTTTACTACTTTTTTATTACGTTTGTTGAAACTTGTGGCCCATTCTCTCCAATCAGCTTACTTTTTCCCCTTATGCTTTGTTATCTTTTAATTGTTGTTTTATTAAGATTTGAGGACTGTAAAACTGTTCTTTCCTTTTATGTCTGAAAGTTTCTGTTCTTTTCCCAACTCATACTTCATCCTCACTCCTAATACACACATTTTCACTCAGATGTGATAGTTTATCTGGGTATAAATGTTTAAATAGACAATTATTTTTCATCAGTTTTTGAAGGTATTTCTTTATTGTCTTCTGCAATAGGTGGTAAGCGATAAATCTATTATTGTCCGTGTAACCACATGTCCTTTAATTAATTAATTGATTTTGTTTTGTGGTGCTGGAGATTGACCTTAGGGTCTCACACATTTTTGTTGTTATTCTGATGCTCTCAATTTATCCTAATGGTACTGTGAATGATATCATAGTGGTATCTTTGCTCAATTCCTAGAATAGTATTTTTAAAATATAATGGATAAATAATAATATATATCGAACACAATGCTTTTAAGATATTCTTTTTCTTCTCTTAGGGCTCCAAGTTTTTTCTCTGGAGAAAGTTGTAGACCTTCTTAATATTTGTGTTTTGAAAAAATATATGTCATTCTCCCAATGTAAAATATAAAATCCTATCAAAACATGGTTTAGAAAGTCAGAAATTGTATTTTACAGTGAAAAGAAGTACAGAAACAATGGAAAGCCGAGGGTCAGAGAATCTGGGCAGACAAAACAATGCCAGCAGGTTAGAATGGAGTTAAGACCTGCAGGTGAGAATCTGGGTGTAATAAAAACACTGACAAATGCCACTGATACCTGTTTTCCTCAGTGAAGGACTTGTTAGATAGCACATGTAAGAAGAAAAGAATTTACTGTCAAAGAAACGAATCTTTTCATGTTGTTTTAAAATATCTTTTGAATAGTTTACAATCAGTGTGTAGTTTATAAATATAATTATTAGACGGATAAGGCTGAAACAGTTCTCATTCTGTTTTGGGCATCCTGAAATGAGTTCTACCTTTCTTTACCTGTTTCAGGATGGCTTGGGAAGAGAATTTGTTAGACAACTTACTAAATTTTGCTGCAACCCCCAAAGGATTGCTACTTCTTCAAAGAACAGGTGTAATCAATGAATGTGTGACATTTATGTCCAGCCAGTATGCCAAAAGTTTACAGGTATGAATTACCATCTGCTGCTGGAGGAAGGGATTCTTGCTGTTGTAAAGCCATTAAGAGCATCATTCTGCTCTGTGGATATTCAGCAGTTATTAAGCCTCAGTTAAAAAGCCATAGAACATTGCCACACTTGAGGGTTTTTTAGGAAACCATTAGAGACTTGATATTGATGTCAGCAGCTGGGTTTATGGTTAATCATCCAGATGTTTTACACATATGGTATCGAACACCTGGATGTGCTTATACTGGGTGGATTTAACTTTCGGAGAAAGCATGGAGTCTAAATGTACGCACCGGTGAATGTTTAAGCTCCGGTGTTTTAAAAGAAGTGAAAGTACTTGTAAAGAAATTGTGTTTTACTGTATTAAAGTTTATGGCGTGATGCAGCCTTTCATTGGAGTCAGAGCCATTGAGTTGTGTTCAGTCCTTTTTGTTGAAGTAAATAGACTTCTGGACTTTCTAGGGTCTAAGGTGTGGCTTTTTGAAATCTGTTCTTAGAGTTATATAACTATGTTAGCGTGTATATTATCTGAGTAAACATATATAAAATTAGAGGGACTTCCCAACATAAAAATAAGGGGGAGTTGGTCCTACAGGATGTTAAATATATTTCAGATGACGCAGAGGGGAGCAAGGCGAGGGAAAGGCAATGAAAGAAGGTGCGGTGTCAGGAGCACGTTTTGCATCCAGTCTTGGCCGTTGGCACGGCCCAGTGCAGGCCCAGTGCAGCCCTTGTCCTGCCGCTCAGACTTGGGTTTGCCTTCGCCTCGCGCCAGCAGCTGCTGTGTTTTGCCATCCCTAGGTTGTCTGTCAGCAAATGTTCTTTTCCTTCATCTTGCTCTCTGTGTTCTAATTTCCTGCTTTTGTTAAATGTATAAGAAAACCAATAATTCAGTCTTTTATTGTTTCTACTGTTCCCAAGCACGGCTCTTCCTGTGCATTCATGAGGGAGGCGCATTTCCCTGCTGCTGCGGGGACTGGCGGTGCCCCCTCATCCCTGTGCCCTGCGGACGTTCACCCTGCAGGCTTCCATGCGCCCCCAGACTGCTGCACTTAGAATCTGCAGAGTGCCTCCAGGCTCTTGCGTGGTCCCGGTAGGGGTATTCAGCTTTCGGAGCAGTAAGTTTGCAGCTGCTCTTGTGTACAGCCAAGGACTTCGGTATTTGTTTCTGTACTTCTGAAAATATGGAACCATTTCAAAGATCATTCTCTTTTTCATTCAGATGCTTCAGACCATGCAAATGCAGTGTTTCCTGTAGAGGCATCAGCTCAGTGCGATGCCCTTTTTATTTTCAGACTTCTTAAAACAACTGAGCCTGGTTTTCTGTCCCTTTGTGGTGCTCATGAATGACACCGCTCCCTGGTCACTGGCAGCTTCCACCTTACAGTTCTGTTTCTTACCCTCTCCGTTCTGATTGGGGTCCCTCAGCGGTGCTCTGCTCTCTCCAGTGTGTTTCCTTTATTCCTATTCCCAGTTGTTTGGTCAGAAAGCGGGGAGGCAAGGTCATCTCCTTAACGTTTTAGAAGGGAAATCGGACATTCAACGGCTGCGTGTCACAGTCTAGGGGCAAGCTGGCCACTCCCTGCGGTGAGTCGGGACTCTCATTTCCTGTTCGTCTGTGTGTCACTTAGTGATGCAGCTCCGGCTGGTGATTTCTGCTACCCTTCCCTTCGGTGCTGTGACCCGGGTAGGACCCCATGGCTCATGCCAGAGCCAGCAGGGCTGGCGGGCAGGTTGGTGAGGAAGGCACTCCTCTGTTGCTGTGGAGGAAGGCAGGCTGGAAAGCACTGGACACTGATCCCGCAGAGCTTCTGTGTTGTGCAGCTGCAGAGCTGTGGGTTCTAAGTGAGGAGAGGGAATGTGACCAGTGGAAGGGGAGTGGAAAAGCGAAGAAATGAACCCAGTCAGGTCTCCTGGCCTTAAATTCTTTTGTTACTTTTCCCTCTTAAAACTGAATGCACAGTTTATATTTTTGAAACCTGAGGCAAAGACAGATACTTTTAGCATGAATTCTGACTGAACAACTGTTTGGAAGTCAAACGTATTAGCCAGTCTGAAGAGGCGGTATGTCTGTTTCTCGGTTGTGGTTTATGCTAAGGAGGTATCACTTCTGCGCTTCACTCTGAGCATACATATGATATTCCTCATAAAATAGCAAGTTCTTTAAGGTTTTTTTTACAGTGCTCATCTAAACTGGTATATTAATGATTAGGATTCTGTGAGTGTGAACTTGTGCACACAGGCGCACACACACACACACACACACACACACACACACACACACTTCTTACCTTAGGATCATGCTTTCTAAAATAGTACCATTTTGAGAGAAAACCATTATTATATTTTACAGTTGTTTGATTAGTTGAAAATCCAATTAACAAATCTCCATAGAGATTTATTAGTAATGAAATTGTTTAGTGAGGAGCCAACCCACAAAGTAAGAAGAGGATGATAAAATGTAGAGCTGGAAGCAGTCTTACTCTTCTGGTCTGCGCTCCGTACTTTATGATGAGCAGAGTTTGGCCCAGGGAGGAAAGAGACTTGTTCAAAGTCGCAGCTAGGACCTGAAATAAGGCTGTGTAAGGTACCACATGCATACACTAACTAACTGTTCGATCTTAGCATTCGTTGCTCCTGTTATTGTCTTCTTTTTCTTTTTTTTGAGACAAGGTCTCCCTATGTTGTCCAGGCTGCCCTTGAACTCACTACATAGCTCAGACTCACTTTGACCTCAGAGCAGTTCTCCTGCCTCTGCCTCCCCAGGGCTGGGATTTCAGGCGTGCATCACCCCCCACCGCGCTGTTACTGTCCTTATTAAAGAGTGATTAATATTCTAATCTAAGGAGAGCAACACATCTCCAGCAGCACACTTCTTCGTTCTTCCTTTGCTGTTCCCCATGTCAGGTCAGCAGGTGGAAGAAGGTTGACTACGGAGTTCTAGTCACACAGGTGGCGTCCACAGCAGCAGGTGCGGTAGCCCTGCGAGATTCAGGTGGGTGCTTTCCTTCATTTAAAAACAAAATGCGCAGGGACCTGAAAGCTTACCTGGCGTGATAATCTATCAGATATCTAACCCCATGTCCTTCTACTCAGGTTGCAAAAGAAAGTTACAAGATTTTGTCTTTGTCTTTCACGAGATTCCCCTGGTTTTTCCCCTGTGGAATACGTGTGCCCCACTCCTGCCCTGAGTTTGGGCATGTGCTGAAGGAACAGAAGCCTCCTCCGTCCTCATCCTGTTTGTACACTGACACCTCTGAGGACGGCCTGCTGGCTTCCTTCAGAGACCCATTATCTGTACATCAGAACCGAACCTGCAAACGCTTGCCACGCACACATGCCATTCCCGGTTGCCCTTTTTTCCGGTCTCTTCTTGCCGAATCCCTCACCACTTTGTTTTCCCAATCACGTGTAGCGGGCAGGATTTCTTCTCCAGTGTCAGTAGATTTAAAGATGCTCAGACACAGGGCTTCATGCACGTTAGGGTTTGCTGTGTCCTGGGTGTGCTGGGGTTACACTTTCACAGCCTCGGTGACCTGAACGGCCACTGCAGTTTCTTTCTTTAAGTGAAAGTTTTTTTCTGTATTGCATTTTACATTTAATTTTTGGCTGAACTGAGTAAACTACTTGTGTAGAGAAATACATGTTTTTTGACAAAACTTGCCTTGTTTCTCCCCAGGGTTTATTCGTGTGCTTGTGGCTGGACTGTGGTCCAGTCTGGAGTGTGGGGGCGACGATGCACGGGTGACCCACCCCAAGCCCACACCGGTGGACCCTATCGACCGCAGCTGTCAGAAGGTGAGTAGCCCATGGGTTCACAGACAGACGCAGTGCAGGTGGGATGGCCCTGCACAGGGGCGGCCCCCAGAGCTTGTCCACGCTCACTCACCGCCAGTGGACTCCCCTCACTGCTGCCGTCCCTCCGTCGATTGTACTGTTTCTCATTGTTTTCAGAGTAAATTTAGCAAACAGTGGAAACACTGATGCTCCTTGGGACTATTTTACAAGATGCTTCTCTTTCATGTTACTTGTATTAGCTTTTCCACCTTACTAAAGAGAATGGTGGCTACTTACCACATAAAGCAGAAAAACAGACCGCTGAGACAGACAGAACCAGGGAGCTGAGGCTGAAATCCGGGCAGCTGTCTGCCCTCAGGTGGGAGAATGTGGGGAGCAGAGGCAACATTTAGAGTAACCTGCCTGAAATTTTCCTAAGCACCCACATGTGTTTTATTCTAATTCAATGGCTTTTATGTCTCCTTAACGTTTTTTTCTGGATTTCACCATAATAAAGTGATGATTTATAACTTGGGCTTTATAGTAGGGTAGGCATTTTCTTCAAAAGAGATCATAACTTTTTTTAAAAAGAAAAAACAACATTTAAAAAGTTTTTTAAACCAACATTTCATAATGTCTTTTTCTGAAATGTTTGAGCTAGCTCACCCCTGTAGAAAATACACATTTTAGAAAAATGACTTTAACATTATGTGGGTTAGAGTACCATCATGACCAGAACCAGGCAGCACATGAGAGAGAGAAGCCCTGTATGGGTGCAGAGAGCTACTGGGATTCTGGATCGCAGGGTTTTTGTGAGCACAGGCATCCTGGATCTGCCAGGGATAGAAACCCACCCCCGAAACCATCGGCAGGAGACACTGCGGCTGGGGGACGGGGTGGGATCACAGAGAGCATCTTCCAACCCTGACCTTGGCCCAGTGTCTGTGCCCCCCTGGCTCAGGGACACTGCTTCCAGTCCCTTGCTGATGCCCGCCTGTGGAGCGCGCTCTCCTGCTGCCCTGAGAGAGCATGGTAGGCGGTGTCTCTGCTGTTCTTGAATCTTTCAAATTCAGATTACAGCCTTACCCTCCGGATATGGTCTACCATGAAGCGATTTTCCTGTGTGGCTTTCTAGCTGAAGTGTAAGGTGTGACTGGCCTGGCTTCTCTGCAAATGCCTTTTTCCCTGCAGACAGAGACTGAGCACGGCCTTGTGCCCTGGTCCTTCTCTGTGCAATTGTCCCCTCACCCAGCATGCTGGGTTGGGTCCTCATTACCACTTCCCACTCCTCCAAAGTGCGGTTTAAATGCCCTGAGAAAGGGTTTGTCCGGGAGGGCGAGGACTATGCCTTTATTATTATTTTTTTTTTTAATTTTTAGCATCTGGCACAAATACTGATAAGAAGCTGATGTTAAAACATTTTGATAACTGAATAGATGACCATTCTCAATTGGAGTGATTTTTCAGTCATATGAAAACTTTGTGGCTTTAGGTAATCAATTTGATGCTTTGGTCTTAAAATGTATTTCATTTACCTTCTATTAGCTTTCTTATTGTTTCACAAAGCCCTATTTTTTTCTTTAGCACACTGCGAAGTGGATTTATGCATTGTGTTCACGTGCTGTGATTTGCGCTTTTCACACAGATGTTGATCTAATTAGACTCCCACGATAGCGACATCACTGCATCCTTGCGGGAACAGTGGTTGCATTGTGAATGCTTCCAGTTTCTGCTTCCCACAGCACGAACCTACAGCACGCCAGGGTCTTTAGAAATGCCTGTCGTGTGGGAAGTGGATGTGTTTCTTCTAAAAACAGATTGCCATGGTCTTCTGAAGTCTCTTTGAAATTCTGTTCAGGTTTCCATTAGGGAATACAGTTATCAAATTGTTTTCATCTGAAGTTCTGTTTAATTTGCCTAGAGTAGCATATCAGAAGTTCCCACAATGTACAGTGTCCAAATTGCTTTTTGAATGGAGATTCTGTATTGATGCATGCGATTTATAAAGACGATGTATCTTTTTTCCATCAAAATAACGGATCTATTAAATACTTATTTTTATATTTTTCCATTGTGATGAGTAGGAAAGTCATTTTAAACATGAAAGGGCTCATTTATGGTAGTATCTAAGTACTGCTGGATGAAAATGAAGAACATCCTGAAGTATTCAAATCATATAGCATTTTTAGCCTCTGTCTTAGTTTATTCACTCCGGACAAATTAAATTGAAATAAAGCTGTATCACTTCAGTTCTGTCACCTTCCTGGTCACCACCTGGTGACCGGTGCTGAGCTTGGACAACGGCCCTGGTGGCCGTGAGCCTGATGCCCTGCAGTGGTCAGGAGACCCAAGCCACACAACGCTGTCACCAGCAGGCTTTCCTCGAGGCGCCATCTAAAGCAGACTTCTCTGTTCTCAGGCGTCCAACTCATAAGTGGCAACAAGGTCATTCCATTTATTTAGTTGTCATTTGTTGATAATATTAGTTGTCCACATGTGTATTTGCTTTCCTGTATAAGTTATATTCTCTAGACTAAAAATTCTACCTTCATTTTAGGGAATATGCTTTCTGGAGGAAAATGTGAACCGAACTGTATAAGAAAACTTAATGGGAGTTCATTATTTATCCAGTAATAGCCTTTGTCAGCCCTGTGTAAGACCCACTCACCAGGGAGCCCCGCTGGGTCGAGTTACACCACACTTAGGTTAGGGAAGAAGAAACAAATGATGCTGTTTTCCAGCTTCCTGAGGGGAGGACTGCAGAGCTCCAGGACACTGTCACGGGGGTCGGAAGATGATGTCCTGGTTTGTACAGAGGAGCTCTGTTAGCAATTCAGCCAGGCCCCTGACTTGACTTACCTGGATGTGAACTTTTCCCATCAGTTAAGGACTGAATTAAATATTCCTTTTAATTCTCCCAACTTTCAGTTTTCTTTCTTTCTTCTTTTTAAGAGGAGGTCTTGCTATCTAGTGCAGCCTGGCCTGGAGCTCACTGGCCCAGGCTGGCCTTGAATTTGCTTCCATCTTCCTGTCTCAGCTTCCGGGGTGCTGGGAATACAGGCGTACACCACAGAGTCCAACCTGAACTTCAGTTTTCTGATTCTAGTGAAATTTTTCAATTTGTCTGGTTTGAAATTTTCTGAGAAATTTTTCTTTTGGCACCGGGGATTGAACTCACAACCTCATGCTTGCCAGACAGGTGCTGTGCTGCTGAGCTTTGTCCCCAGTAAATGGTCTTTTGGTTTTTTTGTTTGTTTTTCATTTTTTTTGGTACCAGGAGTCAAACTCAGGATCTTGCACTTGCTAGCCAGGTACTTGTGCCGCTGAGCTACATCCCTGGCCCTTCTGAGACTTTTTTTTTTTAATTAAGCAAAAACACTTAGTAACAAATAAATTCATATGATGTAGCTGAAGACAAAAGCATAGAATGTAGGGTGTCAGAAGTAAAGAGGGTTAACTGGGGTCTGAAAGACGCAGTGAGAAGTGTTGGGAAGCTGGAGAGGTGGCGTGGAGGAGTATGTTGGTGAGTAAGGTGGCACTGGCTGAAAGAGGACCAGGCCTGGGCCGAGGAGGCTCCCTGCGGGTGCCGAGGGAAAGGAAGGGTGTACCAGTGACACCTTTGAGGACCAGGCTTTGTTCTGGGACTGAGGGGGCTGCGTGCTACCGAGTGGGGCAGCCGGGGCCAGAGGGGCCTGGGCAGGCGGCCTTGTTCCTCTAAGATGGGAAGTTAGAGTGTGGAGCTGACAGTATACGGAGTTATACTCAAAGATTTCAAGGAAAGAGACAATATGGTAACTACTTTTATGTCGGGATTATCTTGTGGTGAAACACTATTTTGCTTAAATGGTTATGTTTTGATCTGCGCTGTTTTGTTGTTATGCCGTCTTTTATCTCAATCTCCATTTCATTATTTACTTTTTTATTTTTATCCTTTTAATTAAGGGAAAAATAAATTTAAAAATAGCAGGATATATTATAGTAACCCACTTTGATTTTCTATTAACTTAATTTGAAGCCCTGTGTTGCTCTCACCATCTTGTTTTGACTGATGTTCCTCTATTCTGTTTTGCTTGATAGTACCAGGTTCGAAAGTTTAGGCAACAGCTGTGAAGATAGTGGGATTCATTATGACGCCCATTCTGGTTGACTATTATCTACTTTTGAAGACCTGTAATGTTTCCCATGTTTTGGTTTTGTTGATTTCATTCTTTACTGTTTTGTTCAATTTTATTATAACTGATGATATAGGTAATTCTATTTGAGATAGCGGGAGGCATTATGTTAACCATTGTTGATCACCTTGTATTATGTTTTTACATTATCTGTTATGTCCACCCTTTTGATTTGACCGACTCTGTTCTGTTATGTCACATTTTGTTTTACTCTCTTCCAAAAAAGTAATAAGAACCGTGGGAGTAATAAAAACCCAAAATCTGTAATAGTCATTGTACAAAAGAGAGGAAAAGAAAGTGCTCTAAACAATATAACTGCATGTATATTTAAGTGTATAAGATAGACGATGATATTACTGAGTTTTGTTGGATCATTGAACAGAACTGCTTGCAGTCTCACTGTTTGAATGTCCACTTTATGTGCTTTAATTTTGTAACTTGAACAAATATTTCTAAGATGACAATATGTAATCCAGTAACTAGTGATTTCCTACTGTTTATTTTTTTTTCTGAAATTCTGTATAACTTGTACCCTTTTTCTGCTTTTTTTTTTCTCTTTTTCTCCTTAAATTAAAAAAAAAAAAAATAGAGTGTGGAGCTGGTAGACCGCATGGAGAAACCAATGTAGGGGGTTATTCTAGAAAACACTAGCTAGTTCCGAGGGGAAGAGCTGTGGCTTTGTAAAACTAACCATAGTATCTAGGTTAGGTGGATTTGCCGTGAACCTATTAAAAGATGATCTTATGCCTGAGGGTGAGAATGTATAGAATTTAAATCTTGCCCTGTAGGCCCTAAGGTCACTCCTTTGTATTTGCTTACACATGTAGTAATAGTACAGAGAATAGGATTCCTTCCCACCTCCCTTCTGCCCTCCTCTTTTGTGGTCAGAACTAAGCTTTTCCAGAGCTGCACAGCATTTGGAAACGTTCCCCAGCTCTCCCATAGGTTCTGTGACAGTTTCATTGTGCGCTGTGGGCTCCCTGGGTGGTTATTTCCCTGCTTCCCACTTACTGTTTGTGTAGGACCCCGCACTGATTTGGATTAGATTATTGAACATACAGAGCCATATACCTTCACCAGTCCCGCCTCCCTGGGATGCTGTCTGGAGACAGATGAATCACTGGGCTGCTTCTCTTCCTGCTCAGGCTTTTCTGACACTGGTAAGCTTGCTGACCGCCCCCGCTGCCTACGAACTGCTGGGCCTCCAGGACCTTCCGAACAGAGCCGAGTACTCCCTCCGTGAAGTCCCACTGTGTGTCACGGTAAGTCCTTTGCCTTCCACATGCCCCTCCTCCCCATTTGAGACAGGCTCTCACTGTGCAGTTCAGGCTGACCTTGAGCTCACTTTGTAGCCCAGGCTGGTCTCGAACTTGCAGTGGTCCTCCTGCCTCAGTCCCCTGAGTGCTGGGATGACAGGCGTGCACCATCACGTGCGACTACATGTACCACTTGAGTTGGGAAGTAAAATGTATCGTGACCAAAAATTTCTTTTATAGCCTTTACAGGTTGAGTTGGTTATTTACCCTAGTCTGTGAACCCTGAAATCCCCAGGAACGGGAGTTTGCTCCAGACCTGTGGACAGCTCTGGCAGCTACCCGAGCACCTGTTTCAGAGAAGTAGAGCCCATGTGCAGGGCGAGTGTGAGGGCTTACCACATCCTTAATTCCGGTGGAGCTGCTCTTCCACTGGCCAACATAATGAAGGACAGTTTACATCTGAGTTCAGTGTGTTTTGTTTACTTTAATGAACTATGTGTTACTGCCCCAAGAGTACTGTATTTGTTTACTCTTGAGACTTGTATTACACTTTTTAAATTTTTAAAGATAGTAAAATGCAACAAAATAACACAGAATAAAGCCAGTCAAGACCCTGCAGTGAAATTAGTATGGAACTTCAGAGCAGGATACTGGAATAACAGTAATAGGTATCATAGTATATCTTGTTATTATCTTCACAATCGTTGTCCATTGAATCAGGTATAGCAAAGTCAAACCAAAAACAGAACACTATAAAACCAATCAAACCAGAATATTGAATGGAGCAAAACAATCAGCACTAAGCAAAAACAGTGAAAGCAATATTGGCCTTCAAAGCAAGACAAAAGGAAATCCCACATCTTTGCTGTATTGTGTACAGTCGTCCTCCCTAGAGATGCTCGGGGACCTCAGGTCCCAGGTCAGCATGACCAACCCAACAGTACTGGCATTTAGTGCTTCGTGTGCCTTGGTTGCTCTCCACTTCGGCTGCCCTTGACACCTTCCAGCTGCTAAGAGGAGGCGTCAGTCAGCGCCTGGGAGGCACTGGCTTGCTCTCTGCATGCCATGGCTCACTCGCACCACTTACCAGGACAGGGGCTTGTGCTTTCTTGGTCGGTCCAAGTTCTGGTGCCTTGTTTTACACTCTTAAAAGTTACTGAAGTGATTAAACTCTTAGAAGAGATACCTACTTCCTTATCTTTGGGTAAGTTTGGGAATTGAACATGCATAAACTAGTGTATATATGAGGGTTAGTAAAACATCGACGCTGGAATTTCCCACTAGTCATTACTTTTTTCCTTGTCATTTTCCCTGTGTCTTATTGTTTTCAGAAACACACTTTTTCTCTTCTGAATACTTCTAGCCCGTGCTAATCATGAATACTTGTCTTTAAAAATCTTTTTCATCCTTGGGAAACTTGGTAACATACGGAGTGAAGTACATAAATGGGAGTGCTTCCATTACTAAACTCAAAGCCTGGATTCTCTCCGTTTCCTTAAGGTTTTGCAGTTGCATCTCACGCTCTCTCCAGGGCTCTGGAGTGCAGTGCGCCCAGCCAGGGTTTGCCCAGCTCCCGAAGCACCATGTGGCAGGGGAATGGCACGGTGTCCTGGCCATCCATGGCGTCCGCACGTGCAATGAATGGTTATGGAAAGTGACCGTGGATCCCGCGTGGCTTTACGGAACTGGGCTGTGGAAAACAGTACAGCTGGGTGATGTTAATCCAGAACAGTGGCTTACGAGTGTTTTCTAGTTCTTGTTTCTGTCTCAAGTTCAGTGCTTGGTCCTTGTCTTTCTGCTTAGGCAGAGGTCTTCTTTTGTTTATGCTGCTGACATGTAGCTACAAGCAGTGACTCCTGCACCCTGGAGGGCCTTGCCTCTCCACCCTGTGGAAGAATCAGCGACTGCTTCCTGTCCCCACTTAACATATAGCCAGACTGTCCTCCCAAACCAGACAGCATGCTCAACGTCTGTATTCTTTGTTGTTGTTTTGAGACAGGGTCACACTATGTAGTTCAGTTTGGCCCTGAACTGACTATGTAGCCACCAGTTGGCCTTAAACTCATACAGATCCTCCTGCCTCAGCCTCTTGAGTGTTGATGTTGCAAGTGTGTGTCACCACACTGGTGACCACGTCGCCCTTTCCTACTCCCACGGTTGTGGTCCTGTATACCTCCCTGGCTCTCTCTGGTGTCTCTGGTCTGTTGTGGACTTCTCTTCTCTAGGGCGTGTTTCCTCCGGAATGGCCTCTTCCAGTTCCCTGGCTTCATGTGGGCACAGGCAGCTCTTTCCTGTCAGATCTGACTGAGATTCCTACCAGCCTGTGGGCTCTGCAGGGCTCAGGGTATTACACTGAGGCTCAGCCTGGCAGTGTCTGCAGCTTGTGTGGCCGCTGTTGCTCTCCTGTGCTGCTGCTTCCTGAGCTCTGGTCTCACTGGCTGGCCCTGCCCTCTGCTCTCTGCTGTTGACTGCGATCCGGAAGTCGCTGCTGCTGTTCCCCCTGCAGGGGCCCTGACTTTTTTTTTTTTTCAATTTTTAAAAGAATAAAACCAAATGAGAAAAAAAACAAAAACAAAATGGGGTCATTCAAAACAAAAAGTTGGACATAGTACATAATTTAAAACAAAATACAAGGTGATCTACAATGGTTACTGTGATGTTTCTTGTTATCTTCAGTAGAATTGCCCGTATCATCAGGTATATTAAACATAGCAGTATGGAACAACATCAATAAAAACAAAACATTGGAGACATTATAGGACTTCAAAAGACGGTAATAGTCAAACCAGAATGGGTATTGTAGTGAATCTTACGTCTTTAGAGTAGTTGCCTATACTCAGACTTGACATTATCAAACATAACATCTGAATAAAATCAGTCAAGATATGATGGCAATCGAACAAGGTAGATTCAAATAAAATCAGTCAAAACAAGGCAGTGAAAGCAATATAGGGTTTCAGATTAAGTTAATAGATTAAAAATGGTTACCATAGTATATTCTGCTATCTTTGGAATAGCTGTCTAGGCCCTCAAATTTAGTACAAGTAGACAAACTGGAACAGAATATAACCAAACTAAACAGAGTGATGAAAACAATATGGGTTTCAAATCGTGATAAAAGATTAGCCATGGCCACTGCCTTCCCTTTCTAGATAGTTCCTCCCCTTCCACTTTCACAGGGTGCATTGTACATTTTGAATCCCACTAACTCCTGTAGTTTTTAGATTAGGGAGGCAATCTGCTATTTACCTAAGTGATTCTGAACCTTTTTACCCCTGAGCTTGGTCTCAAGTTGTATCCATTTACCTACAAGAGCCTCAAGGTTTTCCTTCCTTATAGCTGATTAGTTCTCCATCGAATAAAAGTGTTATGTCTTTCTGACCAACCTGCCGCTGAAGGGCAAGCTGCACCCACTTTTTTCTGGATCCCTGTCACATAGAGCATAGGTCCCCTGACTTCTGCACCTTGTTTACTCTGCTCTCTTAAGACCACCTTGGCACAGTTTCGTTTCTTGTCTGGGTCACTTCAGGAAGATCCTGACTGCAGTTTCTTTCAGCATCAGACTCTTTTAAGTTATCCTCACTGCACACCACATTTTGCTTTAAAAAGGAAGGCCAGCAGTGCCTGTTCTGTGGTTTGAGTCTCTTCTCCCGAGGGTCTGCTGCGGGTCTGTGCCCTCCGCGAGCCTCATTGCCCAACTCCCGATGCCCCGCCCTTGCTGCTTCTCACCTCTCTGTAGGGTTTCTGGAGAGAGCAATGGTTTCCTCTGCCGTCTCAAGGCTACGTGACCTTGCTCGCAGCCTGCACAGCACTGCCTCACTTTTGGGACTCCCTTTAGCCTCCCGCAGCTTCTTCCTGGCCCCGTGGCCGGTTGTGCTCCTCTTAAAGTGCTTCCTTCTCCCGTGGAGGTCTGATCTATATGGTGCCCTGTGCACCTGCTTAGCTCCTTGAAGGGGATGGAAGTCCGTGAGGAGAACTGAGGCTTCTCTTTGTTCCTAAGGCCGCCAGGGTGCACTTGGCTGCTGCAAACGCACCAACTTCTCAGAAACACCTGTTTCTGTTGCTGCTTCCAGGCAAGACATCCAACGAGTGGAATTCAGGAAGATTTGGCTCAGTGTGTTAGGTTCTTACCTTCTGCAGTGGGAGTCCTATGGAGGAAGTGCGAGGAAGTTGCATTGAGGGGTGTGTGTGTGTGTGTGTGTGTGTGTGTGTGTGGTATATGCATGTGTGTGTATACATGTGTGTGCATGTATGTGTTTGCAGTATATGTATATGTGTGCGAATATGTGTGTTTATGTGGTATATGCGTGTGTGTGTGTGTGTGTTTGTTACGTGTGTGTATGTGCACATGTGTGGGCTTTTCCCTTTCTGGTGTGGACATTCTCAGAGCTGCATGAAAAGGTAGTGTAACAAACCATCATTTACCGTTGCAGAATTTCAGCTTTTTTGCATTTTTGAAACTATTCATTTCCCATTTCTTCCCCACAGTCTTCCAATTTCCTGCCCTTTACTTCCACTTTGCCCCCTGAATTCTGAAGTACCTGTCAGCATGGTGTCAGCCTGCCCGTAATTCAGCACATGTTCTGCCAAGGACTCTGGTTTTGCTTTACCTTGAATTACTGTGGTAGGTTGTGGTTGACAGCACCATAGCTAAACCGTCCAGTGGGCAGCCCATGTGGAAGCTCTGTCCTCTGCCTCTGTCCCTTTCCCTGTCCCGGTCCCTGCCCTGTCTCAGGGTCGTCCCTTGTGCAGTTGGTGGATTCGGTCTCACACAGTCCGCCTGTCAGCAGGCATTCTGTCTGTAAACCTTTTGCTCCGGGCGGCAGTTTGCCCTCCCTTTTTGTTTCCAGGCTGTGGATTTATTGGAGAGACTGGGTTATTTGTCTTGTTTTGCACTGATGCATTGTTTCATTAGCAGGTGTGAAATGATAGCTCTAATTCTGCCATTCTTTTTATATTTAATTAAATTCTATAGGAAAAGTTAATAAAGGTAACCTTGGAATAAT